TTGGTGGTATTTGGCTCGACAGCACGAGGAGGTTTTCACTGAACGAGCTCATTCGTCCGACTGCAAACTGTAGTAGTGACACAATATTTCTTGTACAATAATAGCTGCAGATTGTCATATGAAACTAAATATCAGTGATTTGAAAGCCAACCCGTCCTCCGGGTCAACTTGCTGCTGGTTTATTTTTCAATCCCAGCTGATTTAATGGTAAATAGGGACTTATTCATGAGTACGAGCTGATGCATCGTGATAATAGCAGCACCGTCGCCGTGGATTGATTTCCTCTCCTGCCTCCGGTGTGTCAGACAGAGATACATGTGTGCTGTAAAAAGACGCATTAACTCAGACACACATGGATGCAGAGACGCCACAAACCGGCACCCGTCCGTTCAGCATCCTGCTTGTTGTGGCTCCATCAATATCATATTACTGCTCCCTCGGCCGCCCATTGATCTCGCCTGCAGGGTTCCTCCGTGCGCGGGTTACGACGTGCTCTGTTACCGCTGTGTTAGTGTCAGGGGGGGCGGGGGGGTGGTCTCTGTTAGTGTCTGAGGTGAGGACCCTCTGTCACGGTGGCCTGCATGGGAAGTATAGATTGGCTTTAGCTCGGTATTGATTTCTGAAAGGCTCCTTTGGGAAGTGTGTTTCTTATTAAAAGGTGGAGCTCAATTCCAACAGTCATTATATTTTACACCGACCGAAATCCGTGCAGATCACAGCTGTGTGTAAAACGACTCCTTCGTTCACCGACAGCGGTTATGAGACACAACATGACCTCATGTGTACAGACAGGACATATATATATATATATATATAGAAGGTATATTCATTCAGGGCTACTGAAACTAAACCCCCTGGATTAGATTCAGTATTTGACATTAATGAGGACTTCATGACTCTTAGATCTCATCTCAATGTCTCAGTGAGGAATTCACAGTGATTTGTTGATACCACATATTTATTAAAACGTCAAATACAAGGTCTGGTGTTTATTTGTTTCTGATTCCAGACCAGAATCTGAGCTCTATGGAACACGTGTTGGTTTAAAAAGCTTTGCCTCCATTTGCATTGGTTCAATATGAGTACAAGTCACACCAGTAAGTTTGTCTTCATCATCATCATCATCATCAGGCTCCTTCTAATCACCCGGTTTGTCCCAAACGTGTCTCTCTTTTCCGTCTCTGCAGGACAGCTCGTGACTGTTGCTCGTGTGTGTGTTCCTGCGGGGGTCAGGAGGAAGGGGTGAGGAGTGAGGGGTGAGGAGTGAGGGGGGGGGGCATGCTTCTCATTGAACACTGAGCATAAATCTCAGACCTCCTCGTGGCCTCTTAGCAAAGCGCTCTGATATTAAATAATGATCTGGGGCCCCCGAGGGATGAGATGTGATCTCGTTCCCATCTCTGACTCCAATGTGGGAATTAACTGTACGCTGCCTGCAGGGGACAGGAAGAGGACGCCGTCTTCTGTGGACAGGATACACAATAAAGCTTGATGATCTCCTCTCATACCGACGGGTTGCGTTTGACCTCAATGAACTTGTGGCTTTCGGTGACTTCGACCCCACTGAGGCGGATAAGAACGTGTCACCGCTGTCAGGACGTCTGATGCACTTTAAGGCCACAACGCAACCGTTCAAACATGGCCGAGGTCATCGGGTGATGTAACACGGGAGCCGCTAACGCGCTGACACGCGTCACATGACACACGCCACGTGGCACAGATTGAACTGAGAGCAACACCGCAGCAACAAAAGCAACGGCACGTCTTCCGTTTGGACTTTTCAGGTCCCTGAGGAAGGAGGACAGACGGCACAGGAGGAGACCTGACCAGACATCTGCTGTGTGCAACGGCCTCTAATTTACCTTTTGCTGCAGAGGGAACAACAAAGGCCACGCGGGGGGGGTTGAACAGCCAACGCACGCGAGGACTCGCTCGTTCTGCTCATTCAGACTAAAACCTTGTAAAGTGCAGCGACTCACGATCTCTTTTAATCATTTTTACAAGGCAAAATATTGTGTTTTTGACTGATTTTACTATTCGCAGGGCCCATCTGCATGGCACCAATGACACATATAACCACACCTCAGGAGGGCAGCTAAGCCTTTCTCCACACATGTGCCCTGTTATGTGGAGTTTGACATGCACTTTAAGGGTCAAAGGTCATCCGTAGATACCCGCTGTGGGGTCGGCTTCATTAGGTGTTAATGACCCTCCCCGGGGGCCAGTTGTCAGCTGCGCTTTTCCACCTTTGTGTTATTAACTCAGCCTCCTTTGTTTGCGTGAAAAGACAACATGGAGTGTGTTCATCGGGCCGTCGGCTCGTCCTCCACCTCCTCCTCCCCCCCCCCGAGATGATGAGCGAGTGAACCACCGAGCACCTCGGATTCAAACAGCACGGAAGCTCCTCGAGGCGGCTCTGCAGAACGTCCGACAGCAGACGGCCGCCAGCGCGCCACTCAGATGGAAAATGGGTTCCATGACGATTTGCCATTGACGTTTGGTGCGTGTCTTTGTCCCTCCCTTCATCTGCTGATTAAAGAGGAAACGCGGGTGTGAATCCTCAGCGCTCTGCAGCCGCTGGCTTCGCTGGTAATTTGAAGGCTGCTCGTGGAAGTACAGAAGGCCCCGTATTAAGCCAATCACGGGCTGTATGATTTGGCATCGATTCGGGCGGTTCTGATGAACGGGCGGACGGAGCGCCTGTAGGACGCCATTTGATGTCCAAGGCTTTGATTTCAAGTTCTTGTTTACTGGGTAAGAGCGAGAGAGTCCTCCTCCACGGGAGAGCTGGCCAAAGTTCAACCACTTCAAGGCCCTGAAGGGGGGAGAACAACTTTTGCATGTTGGGGCCACGCGGTCCAGTTTAAAGAACGGGGCACTTCACAGTAAATGAGTCCGTTACACGGAGGCTCCTGACTGAGAATAACTCTCTGCAGACGAGGCTCGAATGACCACAGAGGGCCCTGGCGGTGGGATGCTCTTTGACCTCTGACCTCTGGCTACACCAGAGGGCCAGTTGCTTCGGTCACTTGAGGAGTGAGAGTAGATGTTGTCTGGGCAGTTAGGGGGGAATGTGGACTATTTAGTTCATTACCGCGACATTTGGTTCTCGTATAAATGTGTCCTTCTGCCCCTGATGGTATTTCACCAAATAAAAGGAGGCTTTTTAGCGCCCGAGCCGGACCCTGCAGGAAGCAGCGGGCCGTCCTCAAGCAGCCGCAGCGAGGACGCCTGACCCCCTCAAGAAGGGTCAAAAGAGCTACCTTCATCAGGAGGGTGAAGATGTGACCTTCGCCCGTCGCTCCGCGGGCACGCGTTGGTTCTGGTCCTGCGCGTTTGTATGCTGGCACCATTGAAGGGGGTCATCGAAGAGATAAAGTCCGGTCCTGCAGACCTTGCAGCTGAACCGTCCTGTTTGCAGAACTTCAGTCAGCCCGTGGATGAGAGATTTGAAGTCTCAGCTCTTTGGTAGAGAAACATAAAGGAAACTTTTTACTCAATGACACAACGGACGGTTCCCCTTCACGCATTGCTCACCATCAGTTGTCCGACTTCAAGGTATTTTATATCTGGAGAAGACGCTCTTGTTAGTTATTTTGCTCTTTGGTGACAACAGGAACCAAAACTAAAACGGAATACAAAACAATATTATTCAGTTCCTGGATATTTGGATAATTGCACCGTCCTAAGCTCTGTTTTATTAGATAACGTCTTCTAGTGTTCCATGTAGCGTACGGCCGGTTGGTGCTGGATTGTAGTGATCGTCAGCGTTTACAGAGGAACTGCAGTTGGATGATTACTTTCAGAAGAAAAGATGAAGTTCGAACTGATTTGTGATGAAATAGCATCAGCACGGGAGACGGTGTGTGCGGGTGGAGCAGAAGCCGTGTGGCCCCACGCGTGTGTGTGTTTCCTGCATTGATTACAGATGTTTAGAAGATATATCAGATGTTAAATAACATCCTACAAACGTGTGATAGCGGCCCGCGTTCGACCCGGAGGTAAATCAAAGTGACAGCGGGACACCGTGCGTATCAGCACATATCCCCGCCGCCCATAAACTAAACAGGCGCTTATTGATCGGGACCCTCTCTCGGGCCGAGAATGCAGTATTAATGGGTCGTGGGGGTCGGGGGGGAGGGGTTGTGGGCCTGTGTGTGGTTATTTGTGTGCGAGTGTGTGGCAGCATGCATCCGCTCTCACAGCTACCATACGGGGCGACTTCGCCGGGCAGCGTGGGGGCTGGCGGGGGGGGCGGGGGGGCTTCATGGCGGCCGGGCTCACAGGTCACGGGGGAGGAGGGCTGGAGGGGTCAAAGGGGGCCCATTCCCAAACGCCTCCAATCAGCCCAGTGAATTAATTGCTTACACATCGGAAAAGTCACTGTCCCGCGTTGACTCCAAATTTAGATCGCAGACGCCGCATGAACGCCCCCCCCCCCCCTAAACTCCTCCCACTAACTCCACCAGAGGAAACATTCCTGGACCGCGCTGCCAAGTTCAGCCGTGATCTTCTAAGCGGCTCCCGGTTAATCATTGAGAAGGTTCTTTACTTCACTGATTGTGTTTGCTGATCGTGTCTCGTCACAGAGATTAGGTCCATCTACGTGATGGACGCAGGAGAACGTCCTGGGTGACTGATTGGGAAAGGGCCGAAGGGTCAGCCGAGGTCAGGTGATCGCACCGCTAACGAGGAACCGGTGCAACTCGTCAGGTCGGCGCAGGAAGTGATGTGAAGAATAAAACGCTAAACATGAACAATGAACAACAAAAAACAAAATCCAAACTGAAATCAGCTGCTGGGCAGATGTTTGGACCATGAACTCGGTGCCTCAAAGCCAAAATGAGCCCAAAACATTCAACGTTTTTGAATAAAACTTTTAGTCATAACTTCCTGCAGAATTTCACATACAAAAGACACTTTTCAACAACAGTAAACGAAGCTTGTTTAGCAAGTACTGCGTGTGGAGATGAAGGTTGATCAAATGAAGTAGGAAACAATCAGATTCAGAAGTTTTATACAAGCTTTGTATTGGCGACATAAATAACAAACGTTCGGCACATAAAAGGTGTGTTTTAACTTTCTGGTCCGTTTCTTTCCACCCGGACCAAGTGTCCTGCTGCGTATGCGAGATCTTTATTTTTAACAGACGGTCCAGAAAAGGGAGTAAAATCTCGACAACACACGTTTACATTTACTTTGATTGTGCGTGATTGGAAGCTACGCTTCTTGTAAATGTCGTTTCTCAGCTTACGTCCTTTAATATGTCGCTTGGTGTGTTTCCAGCCAGGCGGCCGACAAGGTTCCTCTTTTGGCGTTTTAAACTTTGGCGTCGGATCCCTCTGGAGGGTTCTTCAGAAATGAAGGTACATGTTGCACAGTAAAAGCTTTGGTGATCTTTGGACAACGACGTCTTGGAGGCATCCCTGTCCGGCGGACCGAGGACGCCGCCAACAGCTTTCAGGAGCTCTGGCGGTGAGCCGCCGAGTCCCAGCCGAAGTCGTGGCCGGTCATTTGGTAGAACTTGAGGTTGAAGGGTCTGTAAAAGTCTCGGAGGCGCCGCAGGGTGTCGGCGGGGATCCGGGGGTGGGGCCGGCCCTTGGACTTCCCCAGGCAGCGAGGCCTGCTGCTGCCCTCGGGCTTCTTCAGGCAGGGGAAGCCTTTGGTCTGGTTGAAGTAGAAGTGCTTGTCCGTCACCACGCGCTTGAGCCCCAGGAAGTCCTGGACGCGGCCCATCTCGCCCGCCGGGTCCGTCACCAGCCGCTCGCCGCTGACGAAGAGGAGGCCCGAGAGCGGGAAGAAGCGCAGCCAGTTCTCCAGGTGCTTGGCGTAGATGCCGATGCGCACGGCGCTCCACGACGTGTCGATGAGGCCCGTGGTGGCGTTGCGGAAGGCCAGGCTCTGGAAGGACGGCAGCCCGGGAGACTTGGACAGCGTCTGCGTGTAGTCGGAGACGGCCCGGGTCACCGGGTCGCGCACCACCACGATGAGCTTGGTGTGGCGGCTCATGGAGAAGACGCGGCGAGGGGCTTCCTTGGTGATGAAGTAACTGGGGGTCTTCTCCATGGTGATCTGGCCCTCCAGAGTCCGAGGCATGAGGTTCCTGCGTGACAGAGAAAAGAAAAGGCCGCCATCGTTAAACCTGTAAATACACCGAGGCAATTACTATTCACAGTCGTTATTCCCGTAGCTTTGTCTGCTCGGCACTGTTTCTGTAATCGGAGGACGGGGCCGTCCTCTTCCTCTGGGTCTCCACTCACTGAGAAGACACGTGTAGTGACCTTCAACCAACCCTGAGTCAGTACGACGCGCCAGCGAGGGAAAGAGAAACCAATGAGGCTCGTGACCTTTGTTTCATTCAAATGCTGAAATCGAGTCACCTCGGCTGTAAAAGGAGAAAAGAAAGATTCTGCCAGTTTTCTTCATTTTAAAAGTTCAAACACGACTTGTGTGGAGCCTGAAGAGGAGATGAAACATCTCCGGCTGAGCAGCGGGGAACGCCGGCGGTGCATCGGTGGGAGATGCCCGGTCTGTGAGCGTGATGGAGACGCCTCCACCCCTCAAACGTCAGCCCCGAGTCTCCAAGCGTCAAACCACGATGGGAAGCAACAGATTCACAGGCAGTGCTCAGGGTCCCGCGTGGGGTCCCGCGTGGGGTCCCGCGTGGGGTCCCGGTGACGCCGCGTTTGCATGGTGTCACAGCAGGGAGCAGCAAAAACAGTTAGAGGACGGAGGGACTGAGAGGCGAAGAAAAGAAGCATCTCGTCTCCTTTTCTCTCCAGAAGATGATAATAATCACAGTGTTTGTTCTTCTGAACCGGTTTGCAAAGAGCAAAGAGCGCGATGCGGTGTGATTTTTATCACGCGTCTCCGTCAGCTGGAATGCGTTTGGCTTTCAGAGAGCGCAGATGTGCGTTTATCTGTGCGTGCACATGTGTCCGTGCGCTCACACGCGCTCACGCCTGTGGTCCTGGTGGGTGGGCTGGGCTTCGTCGGGCTGTTTAAAGCGCCGCGGGCTAATGGGCTACTGTTTACAACCAGAATACGAGGGTCCGCGGGGGGGCCGTGCGTGCCGGGTGGGGGGCCAGTGGGCCCTGCTTTTAAAAAGCTTTTTCCATTCCTGCTTCACAAGACCCTGTTTAGATATCGACATATTTGGTCAAAAGTGAGTTTTTACTGCACAAAAAAACCAAAACACTGCAGAGTTCGCAGCAAAGTGCTAAGTGCTACGGAGCTGTAACGTTAGCTACAGCTAGCATTAGCTAACGGTTTCTGTGCCTACGAGCAGCTGTTGCATATCTGTAAAAACTGAAGTGCGTACCAACGATGAAGTCACTAAATGAGAGATTTACCCTAGCCTAACACTCTGATTCTGGTTGAAGGGGATCCCCAGCAAATAATTCCATGACGTGACTGTTTCTGTGCCTCCTTTTATGAGGGCCGACGGAGGCGGGTGGAGAAGAGGGGGAACCGCAGGGTTGGCGGTTTGAGCGCCGGCTGCTCCGTGTGCCGTGTGTCCCTGAGCAAAGCGCCCAACCCCTTAACTGCAAAACGTAACAACCACGGGTTGGAAATGCAATAAAAGCATCAGCTAAATGACATGTTTTTATTATTAGGACTTTAAAAGGGACTAAAGTGTTACTCGGATGTCAGTTTGTTCTACTTAGAAGTTAAAGTAGGACACCTGCAGGTGGAGGAAGCGTGCACTCTGTTTGTACACCACCCGTCTGTTCTTCTCTGTGCCTTTCCACACACACACACACACACACACACACACACACACACACACACGCACGTAAACACAGAGATCCACACACACACACGCACGTAAACACAGAGATCCACATCTGGGAGTAATTAAGTCCTCAGTGAGGCGGAGATGAGGGAAGTGTTTCTGGGTTAGGAAGTTTCCCTCTTGTGTCGGGGTTTACCGAGCTCTGATACCCCCCCGCCCCCGCCCCCCCCTCTGCCCCCCGCCCCCCCCTACATAATCCCCACCAGCCTGCGGGTATGTACCCTCACACCCCGAAGGTCAGAGGCAGATGGCTGTGATTCAGAGGGCGAGACCACCGGGGATCACGTAATGCAACATGTCATCATGTGCAGATCTCCCTCTTCTCCTCCGTCCATCCCTCCTCCTCCTCCTCCGTCCATCCCTCCTCCTCCGTCCATCCCTCCTCCTCCTCCTCTGTCCATCCATCCCTCCTCCTCCTCCTCCGTCCATCCATCCCTCCTCCGTCCATCCCTCCTCCTCCTCCTCCTCCTCCTCCTCAGTCCATTCCTCCTCCTCTCCCTCCGTCCACCCCTCCTCCTCCTCCGTCCATCCCTCCTCCTCCTCCGTCCATCCCTCCTCTCCTCCTCCTCCGTCCCTCCTCCTCCTCCGTCCATCCATCCCTCCTCCTCCGTCCATCCATCCCTCCTCCTCCGTCCATCCATCCCTCCCTCCTCCTCCGTCCATCCATCCCTCTTCCTCCTCCTCCTCCTCCTCCTCCGTCCATCCCTCCCTCCTCCTCCTCCATCCATCCATCCCTTCCTCCTCCTCCGTCCATCCCTCCTCCTCCTCCGTCCATCCATCCCTCTTCCTCCTCCTCCTCCTCCTCCTCCGTCCATCCCTCCTCCTCCTCCTCCGTCCATCCCTCCTCCTCCTCCTCCGTCCATCCCTCCTCCTTCTCCTCCATCCATTCCTCCTCCTCCTCCTCCTCCTCCTCCGTCCATCCCTCCTCCTCCTCCTCCGTCCATCCATCCCTCCTCCTCCTCCTCCATCCATTCCTCCTCCTCCTCCTCCTCCGTCCATCCATCCCTCCTCCTCCTCCTCCCGGCTCACGCGACTTCAAAGCCGCCACACGGCCTTCACCGCATCCCTCACAGCGAGCTTGTTGTGTACATTTGACACGTTTGACGGGACTTAAAAACCCATCGACACGTGAAGACACGTGAAGACAGTCTTTCTGCGTGCGCCCAGACGTGTTGAAGCTGCTCGCCGCAGCACGTTTCTCATTACCGACGGAAAACACAGGGTGAGGAGCTCGTGTGGATGAAAGGGGAGCAAAGTGGTGCTTCTGTGCGTGAGTTTACATCATGATGCTGTCAAAATACAGAACTCCTTTCTTCAATCGTCTTCTTTCAGGTTTTTCAGGTTATTGCCATAAATAAATATACTGTATTACAATCATTAATGTACATCATCAAATGTACAACTAGAGTGAGAAGTAAAGATTAACACTGTTTCCCTTCTTCATTCTCTGCTCGGTTAACTGTCTCCTCGTAGACCCTCCAAGTGGAATCAGCCTCTCATCCAACTCTCAAAAAGTTCACTTATTCACCAAATATGAACTATAAACAACTTATCGCTGGGAGTTAAATGTCGACAATATCACAGCAATGACAAACAAAATAATATAATGAGCAAGAAAGAAGAGAAAATGAAGAACCAGAACCTGTCTGATGACGCGATGTTGGAACATGGAGATAAGCCTGTGTGTGTGTGTCTGTGTGAGTCCATGCGAGCGTATGTGTGTGTGCACCGATTGAATGAATGAATTTTTGGACAATCATTCATGCCAGAATCGTCACGCAGGACGAAGCGGCCGTTTTCCTCCAATCACGGCGCCGGAGCGTTTGCCAGACCTCCAGGGGTAATTAATCTCATTTCCTGGTGAAAGCGGCGCGGACGCCGCGGAGGGTTCGTGCCGGCGCGGTCGGACCGAAGGGGCTTAATTATCAGACAAAGAAAGGTGTGTTTCTGTTTGGGATTCTCAGGGCGGCTGCAGGTTCTCACGACCCGCCAACCAGTCAGACATTAAACAGAGAGACAGAGTCAATGATCACTGGGTTTGTGCGTCTGTCTGCACATCACAACCAAACAGCCACGCAGAGCAGCTGATCGTCCTCTACTTTACAACATCGGCTCCATAATGAAACGATCGGCGACCGTTTGCCGATGATCCCGAGCAGAAAGAGGAAGCAGAAGCGACAGAGATGGAGAAGAGGAGCTGGAGGAAGCAGGCAGATGATTATCTTCTTGTGGTCCATTAAACATTTCGTCAGTCATCCTGATCTCCGTCTGTTTAAAGGTGCCGAGTGCGTTACTTAAGATCCGTCCCGAAGCGTCTCGCTCCATTATTCCCGCCTGGACGGGACGCGGCGTGCTGGGAGTCTAAAGGTCGTCCAATGACGGCCCGTCCAAATATTGATGACTGAGTTGGAGCAAAACGCTTTTTACAAGTAGGAATCCATACCTGTCCCACAGCAATTCATCAAGTCCTGTTTGATTATGTCGTTTCACTTTTTCAAACTACATTTACATATTAATTCGGGCAAAGAAAAACATTTAAATGTAAATATCAGCACGCGTCGTCTCGTGTTCATTGGCTGTGACAGACGTGCCGGATGGTGTTTATGCATCGACCCGTCATCGGCACAGAGACGTCGTTCCTCCAAGATCTGTTTACATTTCCTATTTCTCTCTTCTTTTTGCTCGGAAGCCGCTTTCTGTTCCTAAACAAAAACCTGCAGCGGCTGAGAGGAACTCAATCAGTCTGACAGGAAATCAAACCAGGACATTCCAGCCGGGAAGCCCAACCGGAGAGACAGAGAGACAGAGAGACAGAGACAGAGACAGAGACACAGTGAGAGAGAGACGATGAGCCAACGAAATAAGTCAGAAGAGCACTTTGGACACAGAGAGAAAGAAGAAGGACTCTGAGGAGCCACAAGCAGCGGACTCGTCCATTGGTCCATTGGTCCAGTGGCGCTTTGCGCTACACGGGTTGAGTGACCTGAACAGGGCAATGGATGCGACCCCGGCGTCCCCGTGGCGTGCAGATGTCAGCCGTTGACGGGAGCAACAGCTTCTTGTCAACAAGATTGAATATTCACAAGTTAATTCATTTCTGCAGGCGCGAGCAGGGAGATCAATAGAGAACCTATTTCAGGCGATCGATATCGGGAGATGACGTTTATATCTCCTGGATATTTATAGCATTGAGAAAAGGGGTTGTGACGACTCGCAGGGACTGTGAAGATTAACTTCCTGTTTTTATTTCTGTAACCAGTGCACTTCCTGTATTTAGTTCCTCGCCCTTCGTTTCTGCAAGTAAAAGGTTCCAAACCCGGAAAGAAGTTTTACGTTGCCTTATTGCTCTGCACTCTGAGTCCAAGTCCTGACGCCTCACAGGGGTCGAGTCCCAGCTCGCAACACGTGCTCACGCTCACTTTGCACGCCACGGCTGCCTGAGCCCTCGCTCTCCACCACAGAACCACACAGGCCACGCCAGCGCTTTTCCACATGTAAGCGTTTCTTTCTACAACAATTGGCCAAATGCTTCCTCTAAGGATGTCCATGTGTTTTACTTGGTCACCGACTGAATACAGGGGGGGGGCCGGGTGGGAGGGTGTAGGGAGGCAGGAGAGGAGAAGAAAGGGCAGTAGGGAGTACCCAGCAGCCCCAGAACCTCTACATCAGGTCTCAGAAGAGACCGTACGCGGTGAACTACACGGGTGCAGCCAGCCTCCCGGTTGAGGTGCCCGAGTACTGCAGACGAGCATTGGTGCTGTTCACTAATGCTTCACTGGGCCGAATCCCTCTGAGCCGCCCACGCCGCCGCCGCCGCCAGACCCGCCTCCACGCGGCGATGACCCGAGCGGATGGGAGGGGAACGCGAGGTGCAAGGTGAGGTCGGTAAAAGGAAGGTGATGCGTTCGCTGGTCGTCTCCCCGTGTTCAGATGACCACGGGCCCCGTGTGGCCTCGGCAGGGCAACGCGCGTTGGCGTCTCCTCCACCCCCTCAAGAGCGTTTTCCCTAAACCGATAATGACCAGCTGGTTTCCAGATGTCACAACTTGAATATTTCAGCCGCGTCTGCGGTGGAACGTTTTCTACGTGGGTTCACTTTTGGTCGTTAAACATTAAACTGATCACAACTCCTCACAACAAGAGGCACGAACACGCCCATCCTCCTCTCCCTAAGAACCACACACACACACACACACACACACACACACACACACACACGCACACACTTCTCTGATGTCGCTTCGTGACGTTCCAGCTGAGCCGCTCAGGGAGCCGATCATTACCCGGATGTATTGATCTCCTCCAGCGTTTTCCTCTCTCATCTTCTTGCCTCTTTATAAAACCTTAATTTGTCCCTGATCTTCTTCCCTCCCTCTGCCCCCCCCCCGCCTTCCCCCCTCCCCTTCTCCTCTCGTCTCTGTATTATCGTGTCATCATTTCCATCCAAAACCTCTTGATTCATGAACTCAGCTGCTCTTCTGAAAACATCTTGAACTATTTTGAATGTTTAATTCTATACGTGACAAAATAATTATGGGATTCAATCTACAAGAAGAAGAAGAAGAAGAATACATTTCTGCTATTCCCCAAGCAGACGCCTCCGAGGGGTCATCCACCCTGCCACCACCCACAAGACCCCCGTCCTCCATCTGTGACCAGGCGGGGGAGGAGGGGGGGCCTCCAGGGACCAACGTTGGACACTCAGGGAAGCAGCACGTCAGCTCAAACTGTTATTTATTGGCAGGGGACAGAACACGCCGCCGTCCTGCGGAGCGTCTCATCTGTGCTGAGGGACACTGATGAAGAGGAGGGAGACACTGATTCGCCGATCTGTGCGGCGCTCGCTCACTCACATGCCGCCATTTACTCTTCTGAATAATAGTGGCGACAATTTGACAGCAGAGCGTGAAAAGGCCCCGAGTCGTGGAACAAAAAGTTCTCGTGACGTGGCACCAAAACCTTCGTATCATCATTATTATTTCCAACTATTATTCTCAGTTTGAACCGATTCAAAGACACAATGAGATTCTGCACCATAACATGCAAGTAAAAGCCTTAAAAAATATATAAAATAAACAACGACGCATCCAGCCACAGAGAAGAAAAAAGCCCTGACCTTTGACCCTCACAGTTCATTACTAATCCGGGTGATTTGCCCGTCGTCCGCGGGGATTTGAGTCTATGTTGTCTTTATTGTATGATTGCGTTTCAGAGCAGACGTGTACCTGTACCAGTCCGGGCCCTTGTCGTAGAAGCGGTCGAAGAAGTGCGGCTCGGAGCCGACGGCTCGCACGTCCGGGTGCACGCGCAGGAACTCCAGCAGAGCCCGCGTGCCTCCTTTCTTCACCCCGATGATGATGGCCTGGGGGAACTTCTGGCTGCCGAACGTGTCGCCTGTGGAGATGTTCTTAGGCGGCGCGTCGCCGTCCGCCGAGTCCGACAGCCGCGCGCGGAGCAGCCGGGACGCGCCGAGCGCGCCGCGCGGCTCGCGCCCGTCGCCGTTCTGGAGCGCGTTCCGTCGGTCGTGGACGCGTCCGGGCGACGACTCGCAGTGTCCGTTGAGGCAGTAGAAGAGGTACGTGAAGAGAAAGATCATGGCCAAGAAGACGGGCAGCTTGGTCTGCGCCCTCGCGGGTCCGGGGTTGCACGCGGCTCTCCATCTGCTACATCCCATGAGTCGCACTCCGCAGCACGGGGGCACAACGCAGGAAACATGCCGCATCCAGACGCGTCATACTTCAGGGAGTCCCCGCAAATACACATTTACGGGCTCGTTCCACGACAGCGAGTGGCGCAAAAACCTGCCCGCCCGCGCGTAAAGGAGCTGCGCGTCTCCCTCAACATCTCAGCCTCTCTCCCTCCCTCCCCTCTCTCTCTCTCCCTCTCTCTCTCTCTCCGGGAGGCGGATGTGCCTCCCGGTGGTTCGTTGGCACGCGGCGGCTCTGACTGCCCCCCCCCCCCCCATCCGACAACAACAGCGAGCAATGATTAACTTTCCTCCCGCTGGTTGTCACCGAGGGAGAAACTCTCCCACACGTCAAATTATTATTATTGTTCCGTCATTTAATTATCGGGAGGAGGAGGAAATATTCGGGTCTCGATGGAGGGGAATATCAGTCTGGATCGCAGACTGTCCGAGCAGTTGTTTCTTTCCCACACGGCTCGTGTCCACCTGCTGTCTGCTGACCACACACCTCCACGGAGCCAGCGTGACGCGCGCGTTTAACCTTTACGCTGCTGCATGTCATCACATTCCACGGAGCCGGAGAAGGAATTTAAAACTATACAATCATTTAAAATAAAAACCTTGACAGCAGTTTAAGAAAAGATGAATTTGCTGCAGGTTTGTGGAACCTCTTTATTTATTTTTCTTGAATCTTGAATCCTGAGGACACAAATTATGTTGCAGGAGATGAAGTGTGCGGATCGCTGCTTGTACGCTGATGAAGAACGTGGTCACCACACATTACGTGAGGAATGTCACATGATTCACCTCATGTTTCCTCTTGTGGCCCTTCAGTCAAAGGGCGAAGAAGCAGGCCTGTTACCTACAGACACACAGGGGCCATAAGAGCTGCCGTCACGCTACCAAACAGGAGCCGATTTCATCGTCTGTTCGCTCGATGCTGCGATTCCGAGATCTCAGAGGTTTTAAAACGGATTCTTCTGGATCCAAAACCCACTTTCTCCAAATAGTTCTTGTACGTCCATGGAGTATAAATCACAATGTGTGCGTCGTGGCGTAAGTGAGGTGCTACATGGCAGCACATCCACATGGATGATAAATCTGAGGGGGGGTGACAATATCCATCGACCCGGCCTCCTCCAACGCGGCAGTATGTCAATTTGCTCAAGTCTCTAAACAGAGAAGGCATCATTCAGCCTCCTGGACTGTGCGAGCTCTCCTCCGTATTGATCCGCGGGCCTGCGTGACACTCTGGAGTCAAAGTGATCGATTGGTTTTGTGTAGCGTGGACACAGTCTGCTCTTTAATGGCTCACAGGATTTGGCTTTTTTTTAAGTAGTTTTCAAGCCAAATTGGCTCATATCTGTCTGCTAGAATGCAAAACATCTTTTAAGAGCAGGGTTTGTAAAATCTTTACAGGGTGCGAATGTGAAAATGCAAACTAATTGTCAGCTTTCGATTCCATGTTTTTTTTAAAAACCTTTGTTTGGTTTATTTAGTAAAGCAACATACAGTTGATTTTAATTTGATGCAGTAAAACTCTTGTCAAAAGTCCAACTCGCAGTTCTGACCAATAAGATATTTTAATATTATTTACCTTTTTATCAACATTGTGTCTTTATTTGGTTGTTGTTTTTTTTGCACACATCATTTCCATGTTGGGATGCAAAACTCAATTCATGTTATCACGAGATGCTCGAGTCACAGCATGAAATGCACGAATGAATTGGTCCCTCAATAAAGTGCAACAGGGACGACTTGTGTCTGCAGCGTGTCCGCTGTGTCCCGTAGCAGCTGATGTGTGGCAACGTCTCGTCGGATGAGACCTTGTCGTCTTAAAGAGGCTCCACGAACTGTAAAAGCTGGAAGTTTCCCTCAGAGGCCGAGAACTTCAAAGGATTTAAAACCAACTCATTTATGATCACGGAGTCGTTGCTTTGTGTCTAAAAGGGTTTCAGTTTAGTTTTCAACACTCCTCGAGTTGTCCAGCGGCGTCGTGGTCTTTGTCCTGCAGGAGAAGACGCAGCATTGTCCCGACGTCTCAGCGGATCACTGAGGACACAATGCACGATCTTCACATGGCTGTTAACTCACCTGGAAGGAATGCGTCTCTCTCACACACACACACACACACACACACACACACACACACACACACACACACTTGTCACCAAACCCCCTCGGACGCCTTCATCTTCAAAGGCCCTCGGATTAAAGGATGAGTTACAAGCAGGTTTCTTTCGGGGGAAGCTGTTGCACGTTGCTGTTACGCGGAGCCACTTTGCAGAGGCTTGCAGATGTTTGGCAGATGTCGGCGGGAACCCGAGCTGATGTTGCGTGTGATCGTTTGTTTGTGCCTCAGGGAACAAAGACAAACGTGCAGCTTGTTTAGATTCCATTCATCGGGACTTTTCTTTTATCGACACTTTGCCGTATTGACGCTCGTGTGCCGGACTGCGTTCTTACCGAGGGGGGGTGTGGGGGGGCTCAGCTGCTCAGCTGTCACTAACTACCGGTATCTCCGGCTCGCAGATTACAAGCGGCGGGCCGGAGTGAGCGATTATCCCGTCTCGGCTGCATGTAATCATGGGATGCATGTACCCACGTAAATGCACCGTAACCCGTGACTGTATGATTAGAAGCACAAATCGAACCCAGACGGCACCAGCGGCTCCTCACAGCGCGTCAGCAGCACGTAAACACGCTGCATTAGCTCACTCCTCCTCACTGGACCGGCGCCATGATCACCTCCACCAATTGAAGCGGCCATCGCATGTTTGCTGTCGTTCAGGCTCAGTTGATGCCGATTTGAGTTTTTGTAACTATTCACATGTTGAAGCTGTGACGCGATGACGGTGGTGGAGGAAAAGAGGCTCAGAGGTACGAACAATAATAACACAACTCAACGCGCCTGTTGGCTGGTCCTCTTCAGCTCCCCTAAAGCATCTGCGCTCGGACCCCCGCGAGGCCTCAGCGCATCCCTCCCTCCATCGGCTACGCACCCGGCGGATCGACCGCTGCTCCAGTTCGCCACCGAAAACACGGGGGAACGTGAACTTGGCACCAAAGACGTCAACAAGCAGACAGCAGAGCCTGCGGACGAGACGCACACCCAGCGGCCCGGTGGCGTTGGCCCGGGCCCCCGGCTCTGCGGCGAGCTGGGTAAGTATAGGGCCCGCCGGCCCCGTACACCATCACATGGGTGTGGCCACGAGCTCGCCGCTCGAAAAAAATGCGCTGGATCGCAGGAGAAGCGCGACAAAGTGGCAGGAGAGACGCGGAGCGGCTTCCACGTGACCGCCTGGTGCCTCTCGCCATCTTCACTGCAGGTCACTGCGCTTCAACGGTGACACCGTCTCGTACATGAGGCGTTTCCAACCGCTCGTTGTTTATTTCCTGCTTGTTCTCCTCATTCTTTAAATGTTTTTTTTATTGAAGAAGCTGTGAAAGGAAAAACCTCTTGGTTGAGAGATAAACTGCAGGGGAACAAACAGCTGCAGATGGTTGCTGCTTAGTGGAAGCAATCTGGTTTTATACTAAAACAAATAGCCATTAAACATTCACCCTCTGTGTAATAGGATTTGGGGAAATACATAATGATCTGTTGGTATTTGTTGATGCTTCCAGCTTTCTGGAGCCGTTTTAATCCTCGTGGTGCAACAATGCAGGCGGAGATGCAGAAAAAAGGAGGCATCTTCTCAAATTGACTCTCATCAAAAAGGCTGACACATGGATTTCAAGAGCTATTAACTGTGAACTTTAACTGAATTCCTTCACGGGGCGTTGGACAAAAACAAGTTTGGTCGTATAACAGCTGAGGTCTAAACACGGCGCTCAAATTACAGCACAGGTGACATCAGGCTCCTTTAATGGCAGCCGTGCTATCAGCTGATCTGCACTTAGTAAGCGATCCACTGCTCTTATCTCAAGGTAACATGGCCACCCTGTAAAACCAGCGCTCCACTCCCAGGCTGCTGAGGAGCGCCGTGCACGTGGGTGTTCTGGCGTGCAGGCGTCTCCTCGCCGACCTCCTGTTTCCCTCTGCATCCAATTCATCCAGCCAAGAGTCTTGGACTGCACGCCACAGCTAGCGGGCAGTTTACCGCGCCGCGCAGCGAGGATTCTCCAAAGCCCTGCGATTCCGTGATCTAACGTCATGATGTCATTCGCGCCGAGGGAAAGCTGGCCTGTAATCACGCCGGTCACTTCCTCTCTGCCGTGAAATTCCACGCGGGAGGACCGTACATCACGGGCCGCACGCAGCTGTAAACATAGACGCTCACGGAGCTGGCGGGCCATCTGATGGGCAGCTATCCGAGCAAAGAGGGAGTGACGCCAGCATCTCTGACATACCGTCACACCTTCATCAACAGGCCACGGGACGACCTTCGTCACGGACAATCTGAGCTGCGGAATTCTTCGGGCTGTGGAGCCCGAGGGGCCTCAGGAGAACTTTGAAAGCTAGTGAGATCCTCAGCAGTCTGACCGCAGGATTATACCTCTGTGAGTCTGAGCCTGAACCACCGAGGGAGACAGGCCGCCTAAACAAACATGACCCCTCAACCACACACACACACACACACACACACACACACACACACACACACGGGGGCCCAGAGAAAAGGCCCCTGATCAAACAGTTCTGCAGCGCGTCGCTCCGGCTGGAGGAGCTCAGCGGCTTTGAAGCCAGCGGCCGTTATCGTCTCTTCGGGCCTGAAGATAACGCAGCGCTCAGACTCCATGTTTACAAACAGTCAGCGGCGCTGTCAGGGGGACAGGGGGGGGGGGGGGCACAGGGGGGCGACAGGGGGTTTGCGGGGGGCACACATATGGCTCAGCAGAAGGGAAACTAGACGGTGATCGCTGGGCAGAAGTTCACCGCAACCTGGATGCGTTTCTACCTGCTGCTGCCAGAAAGAACTCTGTGTAGACTTTGAACCGGGCTATAAACGGACATTTGAACAATGAACATCAGTGTCGTTGGGGATTGAAGCAGTAGAGTCAATCGGACCATCCGCGTATTGCAGCTTACCCGTTTTGTACAGTAGAATAGTAGAATATGTACAGTAGCATCACATCGTTTGCACAATCACAACAATTGTGAGACGTCTGTGACGAAAAGTGTCGATACCCCCCCCCCGGAGGCACAGCTCGATGCTCGGGAAGCGTGATGCACGGCGATGGGTGCGTGGGGTCAGCGGGGACCGAAGCGCCGGGCGCCACACGTCAGGACGTGGAGATGGATGGTGGCGATTTGCTCCGCGCCGAGAGGATGGAGCATAATTAAGCCCACGCGCCGAGAGGCTCTCGTCCCGCGTGGTTAGCTGTCCGTGGGAGGAGGATGGTCGCAGACAGCTTAAGCGATAATCTACAGGCTGATGCGTTGGTTTAGGATGTCAACGTAATGAAAATGTCGCACAAATCTCCACAGATGACGGACAATTTACTCGTTATTTGGAATACGGCTAAAAACACAAAGTTTCCAGGCTGGGTTCAGATATGCAGCACAGTGGAAGGAGCTATTTGGGGTGCCGAGGGTTCCAAGTCCAATTCAGGTTCCCTCTAATCAGGTACGTGACTCACAGGTGGAGCTGTTCTACGCCCTGAACATCCGTCAGTCCAAAGTATCAACAACTGCCGACATTCTGGCCGCGGCGACGGGGCCTGACGTCCATCGCAGTTCAACACGTAGAAACAGCCGTTCTCCTTCTTTAGAGACATCCATCACAGCAAAGTCCAACCAACGCTTACCGGGAAAATCACCTGGCGATAAGAGGTACTTTGCTGACATCACAGACACACCCGGTTATTAAAATACTAGCTGGCTGCCAAGAGCAGTTAAGGCAAATATAATTGCTTTAGTGCAAAATGACATACACGCCTTTGAGTGAATGAGCGAGTCGAGGCCTAAGATTGTCTTCCTGTAAACAGCACAGTCTCTGTGTGGGGGCTGGGGGGCATTTCACGATAAATCCTCACTTAACTTACAATTAACCAGGCCTGCCGGATTCCTTATGAAACCCCTGAAAGGGGAGATTAGAGTCTCAGGGTACCGCCAACATGCCCCGATGCCGGCGTGGTAAAGCAGCCGCCCCTATGAGCTTTACATGAACGTCTAATGGTTCAATCTAACTGGCCCTCATGAGCGGGGGCTTTACGCCGGCGCGTAATGCTGTAATCTAACGCGTAATCTAGAATCTAGAGAATAGCGCTTCACTGTCCCATGACAAAACCAGTGTCCCCGCGAGTGTGTGTTTGTGTGCTTTGGCACGCCATCCTGCTCTAATAACCACCATGCCATCCACCTGTTTCTTTGGCTCAGGGTACCGATGACTGATGGGGCAATTTGGAATAATCATCTTATCTGATCTGGAGCGCATGAGCTGAAACACAAATAAGTGGTAGACTACAAATGTTAAATGTCGTCTGTTCTGAAAACCCCCGGGGGTTTTGTCCGTTTTGGGGGAAATTGCACACTCCAGGGTTTTCCGCTTATTTTCTCTCAAACAACGTTGATCAAGTCTGAAAAGGTGTTTGCGTTGTACACAAAAGCGTTTCCTTTCTTAGAACGCACTCTTTTGGTGTCATTCACCTGCTCACATGGAGGAAAGGTGGGAGTTCCTAAATGCAACCGTGCAAAGAAAAACACCTTTTAGAAAAGGCAGCTGTCCTCTTTCCTTTCCTTCCTTCCTTCCTTCCTTCCTTCCTTCCTTCCATTCGTTCCTTTAATAACATCGCGTTGAATCAAACATTAACCCTGTGTTTGAAACGTCTGCCGGGCGCCTGGTTAATGCAGTGCCTGTGTGACCGAGCGGCGTAATGTCGGCCCTCTCAGGGGATTCACCGTTAACCTCAAGTTCACCGCTATGAAAACACAACGCACACCGCAGTGAGGGAGGACTCCTCCTCTGCAGACCGGTTCCTTTCACTTGAGAAAAACACTATTTAGAATGCGTCTGTGGTTATGAGTCACAAAGAGGGTAATGGCAGTGATGGGAAGATGAATTATGGCTGATGTATTTGTCATAGTTGAGTGAATGCCAACAGGAAGCACTTTATGGAGGCTCCTCTGTTCACATGACACATGGTAACAGCCAAAGAACCCCTTTGAATTCTGGTTTTATCGGGGAAAAGCCCAATCAACACTTTAAGCACGTTCTCCTTTAGTATTCTCCTCAGCCCGAGGAAAACAATTTGTAAATATATTTAGATGTGAGGCAAAGAAGGAAAGGGAGAAATAGAAAGAAAAAATAATGAACTAACTAGGGAACAAAAATCACAGAAACCCTAAGGTACGTTACGTGTGGTGCGTAGGCCTACTGTGCATTGCTAGCTAGCCAACGGCTAATATCCCACCTAGCCAATATCCCGGCTAGCCGACGGCTAATATCTCACCTAGCCAACAGCTAACATCCCACTGAGCCACAAGCTAATATCCCACCTAGCCAACGGCTAATATCCCACCTAGCCAATATCCCGGCTAGCCGACGGCTAATATCTCACCTAGCCAACAGCTAACATCCCACTGAGCCACAAGCTAATATCCCACCTAGCCAACGGCTAATATCCCACCTAGCCAATATCCCGGCTAGCCGACGGCTAATATCTCACCTAGCCAACAGCTAACATCCCACTGAGCCACAAGCTAATATCCCACCTAGCCAACGGCTAATATCCCATTGAGCCACAAGCTAATATCCCACCTAGCCAATGGCTAATATCCCACCTAGCCAATATCCCACCTAGCCGACGGCTAATATCCCACTGAGCCAACGGCTAATATCCCACTGAGCCAACGGCTAATATCCCACCTAGCCAACGGCTAATTTCCCACCTAGCCAACGGCTATACCTTAATTATATTATTAAGTTAACACTGCATGAGGTTATCAACATATTGACATTAAAACTCAAATATGACTGCAAATGTAACGCCTACTAGTAACTTTGTTAACTTAATTTCCTCTGGTAGAGTATTTGATCTGTAGTTTAAACTTGTGTCTGCAGGCTGTTCACAGTAGCAGCTGTATACAAACTGAATAAGTAGAAATGAATAAGGACGATGCAGAAAGCAGAAAGCCACTGAGGTGACGTACCGATGTAACCGAGCATCGATAAGATGTTAAAGTAAAGTGCGGTAAATTGCATCCAGAACGCGCTCAACCTTTCGGCCTGATGAGACGGCGTAAGATGATCCAGGAGCTGCTCTTTACTTTAATTAGACCTCAGCCCACTTATCCCAGATAGCATCAGCCTCTCATCCCGCCGTGTTTGCTTTGTGCTTATCGGACGCGGCCACGCACCAGACATCGTGGACCCCGGCTGCGGGTTTGATTACAGGCGGGACCACCTAAGCTAGGGATGCACATGGTGGGTACCAGCACCGCAAACGCCCCAAAACAATAACACGCGTGTATGTTTGTGTGAATGCTGCACGTGAATTATATTTATGCATAACAACATACATTGTTGTATAAACACACAACATGTGTGTGTGTGTGTGTGTGTGTGGATGGCGTGTGGGGAGGGGGGGGATAATTCCTTTGTAATGACAGCCGTCAGTCTCTCTCCATGCAGCCGCCTATTCCTACCGGAGAGAAGCAGGATGGAAGCTCCATCTACAGGTCAGTTTGAAGAACATCACCTCCTCTCCATATCTAAATGTAACCCATTTAGAATCATTGTTCTTTATATTTTGGTTTTAAACCATTAAAACGTATTGAGATGGTGAATAAAAGAAAACACCAAAATGTGTTAAACTATTGTTTATTGTTTGTTCCTCATCAACAATGGAGGAGTCACTATAATATTTCACATTTGTAAACTGACTCAAAGGTGAGTTTTCAAAATAAAATGTAAATTTAGAAATGTTTGAAATAATCTTTAAATAAAGACACTAAAGGAGCAGACTGACTAAAAATATGAGCATAAATATTACGATTCCATTTAACTATTTCATTATGAGGTATTTGAGGAATGTAACTTATTTTCGTAAAGGAATATTTGCACAGCTGAGGTCCGCTTACTTCTTCACAGGCCGGTTTAAGATCTTTCAGTGAACAGGACGTCCCTCTCGGGCCTTTTCCCCGTCCACGTCATCCACCGACCCGACCTGTTGACCTGGTAGAGCAGAAAGTCGGCCCGCTCTTCACTGCTTGCCCACGCCTTAGACTGAGACAAAGCAACAAAACTAAATTGTGACAATAACCCTTAAAAATACTGTAGCAAATACCACTCTGAAAGGTACCATTCTGCGTACTGTGTACTTTAAGTACATTGTGCTTTAAATACTTTTACATCTTAAATCAGAAGGTTTGTTGAACTCTTGCATAGCTGGTGTTGTGTTTTTAAAATGAAGATGCTCCTCCCACTGCCGTTACCTGTCTGGTGATTTTACCTTTGCCTGGGACAAACTTGAGCGAGTGACTGAATATTCAGAAGCGCGAGGCTCCATCCTGCGGGCCGTCGTTCACAAACTCGTGGCCCAGCCCGTTGCCACACCTGCCGCACAGGACCTGGGAACACAAACCCGGTGACGTCATCCCGCTGGCTCACTTCCTGCTTGAGTTAAATCACGCGGCGATGGCAAAGAGACCTTGAAGGCGGTCAGAGTCTCCATCATCCTGGTGACGCTGTCCTCTCTGATGGTGTCAGTGAAGGCCGGCCAGGGGGACGAGTGGGCGAACTTGGACTGACTGGAGAACAGTGGATGGTTACACTGGGCGCACACGTACACACCTGCAAGGGAAGAGTGGCGTTAAGAAGCCATCGCATCGCTTTATTGCCCTCTGCAGAAACGCCAATGGAATGGCTGTAAAGTTATGCAAGTTAGGGATCGTCCGCCTAAGGAAACCCGTACTGCAAACCTCACACATTTAATCCTTATTTTTCTGTAATTTGGCTTTTTCTTATTCTTCGAAACCCAATGCATTTATCTCAAGGAAGATGACGGTGGTCGACCAACAGCAGAATAGGAGGTCTTTATTTAAAAAAAAGGGTCACAAGGCCCAGTTGGAATCACTGCAATAAGAAAATATTACTTAAATATACCTTTAAAGCAAATTTATGTCAAGATTAAATCAATCATATCACTGCTGTGTTTATTATTATTATTAATACTAATATTATTCATTATTCTAATTTCTATAAGAAACTTCAAATCCGACATGGCATAGAAATAAATAAATACCGTGGCACCACGTGGCCTCCCTTGTGACGTCATCCCCGTGGCGTTACACAACCATTGGATAACAGTAATCCGGCCTAAAGGGAGGTTACGTCACATCAGCGGCTCCTTCCTGCTCACCTGGTCTGAAATGATCTTTGTAGACTTCACCTCCAGAGAAGCGGCAGAAGGACATGCTGCAGCTTTACGGAGCAGAAGCCTCCTTCCCTCCTTATTTCCGACGGGCTCCTCTCGTGACAGGTGGTGCAGGATGGAGTTCTGACGGCAGCTCCTCCCCCTGCAGTTACCCGTGTTCCTCCGCTAGGTGTCAGTGTGGGAGCACCTTCACACTCGAGTGCGTGTATATATAACCATATATTTTCATGCACGTGTGTGTGCGTGTATGCTTGCATGGTGCTTTGTACTTATAATTGACTTTTGATGCGTATCTTGTAAATCAATTACACAGAAAGATTATCGCAAAAAATCTAAACAGCTGTTTAGTTTCCTGACTGAGTCAGTCGTGTTTTTACACAGACAGAGACAGACAGAGAGACGTGTAACCACCTGTAGTATTTTTCTGCTACAGTGGTCGTCTCCAGGACAACGTTCTCCCTGAAGATGCACACGCAGACGTAGACGTGATCAATACCAGAGTGACGAGCTGCGAGTAATGCGAAGAAATATGGAATCACACAAACAGGCCGACTAACCAAGAAGTCAATTTATTGTTGTCCCCTTGGGACACTTGGATCACGAGCATAGGCGCATCTTGCTCGGTGCTCCTCATTCGTACTTGCAGTAGTGCTTCAGGGCCTCGGGCAGCTCCAGCCAGTCGATGGCCATCCTGTGGACGATGTGCTTCTGGATGGATTTCCTGCACAACGTCTGCAGGGACGAGACTGAAGCAACAAGCGGTTTGTGGTTTAGCGGAATCACGGTAGTGGAGACAAACGAAGGACAGTTGATGATAAAACTATTGACGGGTTGCTGAATTGGCCCCTTAAATACAGATGTACCGGTACAATCACACAGAAACAAGACTGCAACAAAAAGACTGACAAATACGAAATGACTTCTGAAAGAACGACACGGATAATGATTATAAAGAGACAAGAAATAAGCACAGAGCTTAAAAAGACTACAGGGGGATGAACACTGATTGAAAAGATCCAAAACAACCACATACAAATAGATTCAAGACGACCTCAGAGAGACACAACATCACCATGTCCTCACTCAAAAAGACACACAAAGTGACCTCAAAGAGACACACAATGAGCAGCAGGCAGCATCTACAGTATGTGGGGTTTTGTCCCCTCCAGAGTCTGCGATTATCAACGTGGCACTCACATCCGTACTCCACCTGGACAATCCGGACGCACTTGGTCGCGGCGAAGACGTCCACCACGGCGTGGAGAGGCTGCACGGAGGGAATCCCCTTTGCGGAAGCTCCCATGTCCTCCCCATTGATCACAATGTGCATGTCGGCCAGGTCTCGCCCTTTGGCCACGTACAGCACTCCTATCCGGCTGCGTCTGGCCGTAGGGGGCAAGGCGTTGGTCTTGTACAAGTCGTCCAAAATGTGGCTGTAGCGGCCCGGCCTGCTCCGTCCGACCAGCTTGTCCAAGGGGATCCGAACATCGTCGATGTCCAGGTGAGAGTCGGTGAAGAAAGTCTTCGGTTTGCTGTTGTCTGCCCCTCCGTCCCCTTCGCCGGCCTCCCCTCGTCCGAGCCTGTGGCCCCCGGCGGCTCCTCCGTCCGCCGCCTCCACAGGGTCCTCCGCGATCTTGTTGTGGTTGCGAGTGATGGCGAACACCCAGCTGTCCCCCGAGTCCGTCAGGTCCGGGATGGAGTACTCGGGTACCGCGTCCAAGCTCCCGGGGTCCCTGGCGGTCAGGCCCACCCGGAGGTGGCCGCACCAGCCCAGCTCCTTGTCCTCGATCTCTATGAGAAAAATCTCCCCGGGCTTCAGCGGCCGTTTGCTGAAACACACTCCGTTTGCGAAGCTCTCCACGCGGGTGGCCTGCGTGCCCGAGAAGTCCAGTCTGACGTTGGATCCGTGTACCGGATGGAATTCCATGAACTCATCAGGAAGGGGCTGCATCCTGTCCGAAAGGCGCCGACCAAACGGCCTGTGGATCCTTACAGGAGGCACATGGTGGGAGGAGGTGCAGCGCGACACTCTGCTTATCTGTGGGACACTCGCAGGAGCTATTTTTGAACTACATGCACCAACAGATGGCAAGGTATGTGTGTCTGTGTGTGTGTGTGTGTGTGCGTGTGTGTGTGTGTGTGTGTGTGTGTGTGTGTTGAGGGGGGGGGTGGCCACCATGCACGTGCCCACAGTCACACTCATACACAAAGATTGAAGAGGGGTTAAGGGCAGTAACAAAGCCCCCGATCCCCCAGGCGACCGCCCTCATTCAGTTTCACCAACATGGAGCCATATGGCGAGGAGACGTTGGACGGCCTTTCATAGCTGCACGCTAAATATAGTCGGTACAGTCGGGATCTTGTTCTTATGCAAAGCAGAAAGTAATATTCCAGGATGGGGAGGGCTGTGGACATTTATCTTGCTGATTTATCTGGTGGAATTTTGCATAAGAATGTGCAAGACTACTTACTTTACTCTATATATTCATTGTGCATGACTTGAGTCATATTAGTTATATGATCATATCTGATATAGTGGTTACATAACAGGTTAACGTGCAGTCATTTGCAGCATTTCCTTCGTTGGTCAAGCCTTTAAAACGAGCATCCCCGACGTCCTCCATCAACCTTCAGAGCGGTACTGATGAGATCAGATCACTGATCAGAACTGATGCTGCAGAACCTCCGGGGCGTCGGTGTGCTGGTCTGCGTCCACCAGCTGCATCTCCTTGCCTCCACCATGCCGGTCTCTCTGGCCTCCACCTTTGGAACGCATGCAGCCGGAGCTCCGGGGCTGCGAAGCAGGTGGTCTCGGCGCAGACAGCAGGCTGACCACGAGTCACCTCGTGACTGTGCAGGCTTCCACCCAGGAGGCCCAAGCTGAAGGATTTCTGATCTTTGAGAAGAAAAGTGATGCTATTACAGTTTCAACCCCTTTTACTGTAACTTCCCTGCGTGGATTTAGAGCATCTAAAGCCCCCAGACAGTAGAAAGACATCAGCATTTGTATATTCCTGTAAGCGGGGGTGGAGGGGGGGTGGGGGGTGCTGATCAGGAGCACAACCTCCTCTCCCTGATGGATGGGGGCCATTGTCTCTGACCCGATCCCTCGGCCCGTTCTTCGCATTGTCATTTCTAGGGCTTCTGGTGTGTAATGTAGGCCAAGATGGGAAGGGGGAGGGAGACGAGAGACACTATTCGTTATGTCCGCTTTGCTCGTTTTCACTGTCGCTGGACTATTTTTTTTAGCATTTTTACAATTGAAAACACTTTTTGTATCTGTGTTTGCCAGATTATGACATGCCGCTAACCCAACGCTGAACTTTAGCTGTCAACGTGTTTCATATTCAGTAATTAGACAGCCTTTCCACAAGTGTGGGTGAGCTCTGTGTGCGTCAGGACCCTTAATCTGGATTATCATGCAGCGCGGCCGTGCTCTCCATCGTCAGTTTGGTGCGCTGTGATTCCCGGCAGCGCGCGACACATCTGGATGGAGGCAGTCGGTGAAGGGGAGGTATGTGTGAGAGGGAGGGAGGGAGAGAGAGAGAGTGAGAGGGAGAGAGAGAGGGAGGGAGGGAGAGAGAGAGGGAGGGGGGGAGAGATGCTCCACACTCGGCGGGCGTTACGCATGCGTTTGGAGGAGGAACCAACAGACGACATCGCTGACCGGCGGCTTTAGTCACAGTTCCAAATCATCTTTTTGTGTAAGTACATTTTATTCCTCGTCTCCATTTGTGTTTTTATTCTTGCAAAACATCAGCGCTGCACATATTTGGAATTCTTCCAGTCTGCAGGAGCATCTTTGCAGCGTTGTCTCAGTAACTAGAACTTATTCCGTCACGTCTGCACGTCCCGATAGGCTCGTGCTTTGTCGGTCTGCCAAGAGAGCAGTGCAGCTCTGTGCTGTAGTGGAAGTGGAACAGTGAGTTTGTGACCTGAATTTCAGCCACGCGTTGTTTGTTTGGGTTTTATTTTTTAATATGAACCTGGGGTTATTTTTGGGGGGCATCGATCTGTCAATTATTCTCACAATTAATCTAATTATTTAGTATCAGAAATGAGAGAAACGTGTTTTTATTCTGACCTTTGAGAAGCTATAGAGGACCAGACAAAGTTGACCCCTGTTGACAGGGGACCAACGGGCCACTACGTGGACACGTGGGCCTTGTGTCGCTTTGTGGCCATTGTTTAGAATCTATTATCAAACTCATCCAACATTTAGTGACTCTGTACAGAAACATCTGCATCTGCCCTGCAGCATCGAACCAGAGCACGGATGCTGCTGATCATCAACACGGCGTCGGGAGATGAGCTGTCTTGGAAACGCACCCCCTGGAATGTTGGTTTAGCCCGTAATCCGGCTGTGATTTGTCCGATTTCAAAGTAAAATCCTCCATTAATGTTAATCTGAGATTGCTACTGTTGGTGTCTGATCAGAGGACGCATGGCAACACAATCTCACACACACACACACACACACACACACACACACACACACACACACACACACACACACACACACACACACACACACACAGTTACAGATATGATGTCGTTCTGATGTCGCACTGATCGAGATTGTAAAGGTTTGACTTGTTGCAGCGGCATCACTTTGTGTTGACTGTGATTAAATGACTCCACACCAGGACAATATGCTCTCAGCCCTAAAATCAAGCAAATATTAATCATAAAAAATAATACTTAGTAGTATCTTTTCAGTCCTGCATTCTTTGGTTGTCCATATCCAGGTTTTACTCAGCTTCCTGTTACCTGTGGCAGGTAGACCCAAAACCTGAAGGACAGAGCTGGGGGTTAAGCTTAAGAATTCTATGAATACAACATTTGAACAGAACCAGTCATCCATGCGTACATACAGGAGCTCCTATTGAATGACGTGTGCTATATGACACGTGTATATGATGCTAGCACATAAAAATACACGATGTTCCTACATTCACTGTATTGGACATGTTGTAAGCTCACATAGCTGCAGTGGCTGCAGACTCTTGTATAGTTGTATTAGACAGTTTGTTGTTGAACTGATGATGTTTGAGATGATTCAAAACTCAAGACCAACAGACTTCATCTGCTCCTTCCATTTATTTCCTATCCAGCTACAACGAGTTGATGCAAAAAGGACGACTTCGCTGCAGCGACAAGTTCAACAAACAAAAACAACAAAATAAAAATCCAGAGTTCATCTCCTGCAGCCTCCACACTGGTCGACAATACGGCAGCACCAGGCAGTCCTGTCATAGCGCTCTACAATTAGCTGGGACGGAGCCACGGTAGCTTAGCGCCGGTTTAGCCGGCCTGATGTGCGTGTGAGCGCATGTGTTCATTTTCTGGCACTTTTGACTGCATGTGTGTCGCTAAGGTTTATCTCTCCGCCGTCCATTTTGGGTCAGAGCAGATTAGTCAGAGTCCACCAGCTGCTGTGGAATTGGTTGAAATCGTCCCGGCGCTTACGTAAAGACGACCAGGCGGCGCCTCGCCGTCGCAGGGCCCTCGAACCGGGAGACACCGTGAGGGAAAGGGTTCTCTCACTGGGGGCTGCCGTCCCCAAACCGTTTAAGGTTTCTTACCACGACGTACACGTCTTTGGTCAGAGGGAACAAAGTGCACAAAGACTCTGTAAGCCAGAGCAGACAGTCGATCCGAGCGTCCGAGCGGCGGGAGAGTTGCTTATTTGGATCAAAAGTCTTCAGACGACTAAGCGACATTCTCCCGTTGATGCAGAGATCGCACACGTCACCGGCAGGAAACGACGCACAAGCGCAGAAAAGATTGCGTCCAATCTCTCCGTGGCTCCTCCCCTCGCTGCTGGTGTTCGCTCCGACGCTTCGCGGTGTTCTTCACTCGTTCTCTGTCGTTGACTCCCAGGTGCCTCGGCCGTGCCATGTGAACCCAAGAAAATGGCAGAGAGTGGAAAGAGCGGCGAGAGAAGAAGCGAGGATGGCGGGAGAAGAGGAGGCGGACCTCCCCAGGAGGCCCGCTGCCCCGCCGGTGGTGGCCCCTCCCCGGTCGCTGGCACCAAGAGGCACCTCCCCCGGGGCATTGTGATCCAGCTGACTGGGACGGAGGGCGAATGGGACAGTCTGGACGACGGCGAGCTCCTCGACCACGACGACGACTGCCCGTCCGTCCCGCTCCCCAAAGAGAGGCAGCCTTCCGGCGAGGACGAGCGCAGGTTGCATTCCCCGTCGTTCCACGTCCCTCTCTCCCCTTCGGACCCCGGCTCTCTGGGGGACGGCTTTCTGTCCCCGGGTCCTTCTTCCCCCCGCCAGCGGCCCCTGGCCAGCCTGGTCAAGTCTCTCTCCACGGAGCTGGAGCTCAAAGAAAGCTCCACTCTCAGGCCGCGGCCCATCATCAGCCTGGTGAAGTCCATCTCCACCGAGATCTCCCGCTCGGAGCCGGAGGTGTCGCAGTCAAAGTCCGACTCTCGCCTCAACCTCCACGTGTGGAAGCAGCTCACCCAGCACAAAGGCCGCGGCAACGGGGACTCCCGCACCGCGCCCCCCTCCCCTAGCTCACACTCCCCCACCGCAGAGGGTCCAAAAGGGGGCTTCTTCAAGATGGAGCTGGAGGACACCAAGAGGAAGCTCTCGGAGGCCGTGCACGAGCCCTTCAGCAGCATGTTCAGTAAGATATTGAGGGAGGAGGGCGCCGGCAGTCCCAGACACCAGTGTAGGGGCCCGGGTGCCCCCCAGGTCGGCTCCCGGGGGTCGGGGCACGAAGGTGCCACGGACACGGTCCTCTCCGAGTCTCCCGTGAGGAACGCCAGGAGAGCAGAGGCTGACTTCTTGCCCGTGTTCAACTGGCCCGGGAGGGGCCAGCGGGGCTGCTGCCCCGTGCATCACAACCGGCCGCATCACGGGGACGAGGAGCTGGACGCGGGCGCAGAGGCCGACGCCGAGACTCGCAGCCAGGCGAGGACGTCGCCCACCGGGGCCGAGCCCGTGGTTAGGACCTTTGACCTCTCCCAGCCCCCGCGCCCTCTGCCCGGCATGAGTTTGTTCTGCGTGGCGGTGCTGTCCTATGGCTACTTCATCCTACCTCTCAGCCCGTACCTGTCCGGCCTGGCTCTGGGATTGGCGCTGGGCTTCTTGCTGGGACTGCTGCTCATCAGGATGGGCTCCCCCACGTCTCGCCGCTCAGCTTCACCACACGGACCGGCGCGGACTCCGTCGGGGGGGGGGATTCCGCCAGCTGTCGATGTCGGCGCCGAGCCTGACGCGCTCAAGGTAAATCCCATTGCTGTGCGAACTCTCATCCAAACCACGGTTGTGTCCAGTGTGAGGCTACAACCAGTTAGCTTAGCACAACGACGGGGAACAGGGAGAACCCAAACTCAGTCAAGGGTTCTGGTATCAGGAACGACTGGAGGAAGTTTGAACTTGAGTCACTCGAGCACCTCAGCTGACGGTTTCCTTCACAGACTAAAGTGCAATTAAAAGCTTTAATAAAAAGATGCTATCAGAGCCTCGGCGGTAATTACTGTTCTCCTCCTGGCTGAGCTGGAGACACGGGGCATCGGGAGAGGTCAGCTTCAGCTGCAGAGGCCGGGGGAGGAAGCTGTCATCCGTCAGGGAGGCCTGGGTTTGGAGAGGGGGGGGGTTTGCTGTCTTGGTGGCGAGATAATTCCCTGGTTTGGTCATTAGCGGTTCGGGAGCTGCTGAGGTTTCTGGTAATGAGACGACAGAACGAGAAAACTCAAGCGCTTTAAAGAACAAATCAAATCTCACTTTGAATAAAACATCGTTAATTGGAGGAAGAATCAAACTCACCTATTTGCATGTAGTTGTCTGTTTCTGCATATAATCCACCACTAATTTGTCCATGTTAAAAATAATTAAGGATTTATCTTGTTTGATATAAAAAACACTCACTAAGTACATTTCCCTTTTCGATGCTCTTTCCTTCGCTTTGTGCATCATGACTTGCGATTGGTGCTGTTTGCGTTCACACTCCTCTGCCTGCTCAGGGCTGGATGAACGAGGTGCAGGACTACGACCCGGAGACGTGGCACCCCGCGGCGACGCACTCCGTGTTTGCCGCCCTGCAGGGCTCTCGCCTCTGCCTCGATTCCCCGCGGAACAACATCGGGCGCCGGGCGGCGCACGACGAGAGGCCCCACGAGGCCGCCTTCGTCCGGTCACGCTGCTTCCAGCTCGCGCACAGCAAAGTACGGCGACCAACGTGGGAATGTTTGCTGTGTATTTGAGGCTGATGGATTTTGGTTATGATGTTGTGTTCAGGGATGTAATGCATTGATGTTCAAATGTCTGAGGGAATAAAAAAAACATGACATAGACAAGAACATATGATTCAAATAAATCTGACTGCACAGACCATCGATTCTACGTTTGACATGTGAACAAAACTCTGCCCCCGTCTGCGAAGGTGTTCCTGCTGCCGTCTGTGTTGGCTCGCAAGAGGATGTGGAACCCAAAGTATCCCGTCTGCATCCGATTGGCCGGGGGATCGAACTCCCGGGAGGACGAGGGAGGAGGATCGGAGCCGAGCTCCTCCTCCGAACGCGACCCGGACCCCCCCGCCACGCTTTACCTCTTCGGACGCACGGGGAGGGAGAAAGAGGAGTGGTTTCGTCACTTCCTGTTTGCGTCCATGGACGGCGAGGGGGAGGCGGGGAGATCGGGTACGAGGTGGATGTGTGTCGATGTGTGTGTGGCTTATGGGTTACATGCTCCGGTTCTCTGCCTCCCTGCGGCGTCACGCGATGGCTTCAGGAAAAGAAAAGTGTGAATGTTTGAAACCGGAATCGTTTGCATTTCATCTCCCAACACAAATCAGTCTGCACCGGGCCTCAAACACGCACCAAATGCTGCCTGTGTCGTCCCAGGTGAGCCCGCGGCGGCACCGGGCGGCGCCGTCCCGAGCGGCAGGGTGGGCAGCAGCGAAGACGACGCCGACGACGCCCCCCCAACGTCTCCGGTCGCCTGCGTCCCCCCGGCTCCGGTCAGCCAGAGCTCCGGTGGCGCCGGGGGCCTCTCCCCGCCGGACTACCCCAGCTACATGGCCCGTCTCCTGGCTGCAGAGGAGGGGCCCCCCCCCCGGAGTCCTGCAGCCGGCGGCACGGAGTCGAGTCCCACGCTGAAAGGGAAGGTAGGTGGCGCTTCAGGCGCTCAAAGGAAGAAGTGAAGGATTCATTCCACCCTTCCTGCCCTGCGTTCAGCTGCCACGTTTCTCCAGTGTACCTGTGATCCGGCGGAGCGGGCCGGGCCCAGCCAGGCGGCGTGGGCCAACGCTCTAATTGGTCGGGTCTTCTGGGACTTCCTGCGGGAGAAGCGCTGGTCCGACGCGGTTTCCCACAAGATCCAGAAGAAGCTGAGCAAAATCAGAGTGCGGGCAGTTTTCGTGAGAAAAAAAAAGTCACCGTGTCCATCGGGGGTCACGGGAAAAGTGTAACGCATTTCACGTCATTTCACAGCTGCCTTACTTCATGAATGAGCTGACGCTGACTGAGTTGGACATGGGCTGCTCCATGCCACAGATCACCGCCGCCTCCACGCCGCAGGTCAACCACAGAGGTGAGGACACGCAAGGTGCATCAGATCAGACGCTGTCAGCCGCTTGTAATCTCGCAGCAGACTCATCGCGCCGCGCGGCCTCCGACATTTACCGCGCATCAGCCCGTGAGCTAATCTGGCAGACACCAGAGGAAAGCCGCTGACTTTAACCCCCCCCCCCTCCAATTCGCCGTAACCACCTGCCGACCAATTATCCTCTTCCAGCTCCTAGAGGGCTTTAGAAATCTGCCCTGATTTGTATTAAATTCAATTTCAAGGCTTGATAATCACTGTAAAAGCTGTTTTAATCCACCCACCCTGCAGTGTGTGTGTGTGTGTGTGTGAGAGAGTCCTGTCTTGGTTCTGCTGGTCTGGCGTTGACCTCCTCCCGTCGCCCCCTGCAGGCCTGTGGGTGGAGCTGCAGCTGGTGTACGCCGGCGGCCTGCAGATGACCCTGCAGACCAAGTTCAACCTGTCCAAGTTGGGTAAAGACGGCGGCCAGGATGCAGACTGCACGACTGAAGCCGCTAGCCACCGGTCTGCACACACACACACACACACACACACACACACACACACACACACACACACACACAGAGCTTCTTCATCCCTCTTGTCTCTGATCCACATTACATTGAGTAGCGTAGACCTGCCTGTCATAGACCTGCAGTGGGGGGGGGATTACAGCCCAGAGCTGCCTGTGGTGCATCTGAGGCTTTACTGCAGAGATGGAAAGCTTGTGTTTGTTAATCTCGTCAAGCCTTCAGACAGTGGAAACGCATTGAGAGCATCTGTCCACCTCTGTGATGCAGCAGCGATGCTCACATGGGCTCTGATCTGGCTGCAGGCCCGTGTTCGGCGTGTTGGCGGACAGCGACGAGGAGTCTTCCAGTGCGGGTTCGTCCGACGAGGAGGAGCTGCTGCTCTCCGAGCCTCAGGCTCCGGCGGGGGAGAAAAGACCCCCCCCGGCTCCTGATGGGTACGTGCTGCGGTAGAGACTGCCGACGGCGAGAACTCATGTAAAGACTTTTACATGAACAGCTAAAAGGCAGAAAGTGTCCTTCTCCAAATGGCTTTAACTCTCCTTTCATTTCTGCTCAGATTCTGACTCCAGCCTCTGGAAAACTAAATCTCCTCTCCTCTCCTCTCTTCTTTCCTCTTCATCTCATCTCTCTCCTCTCCTCCTCCTCTCCTCTCCTCTCCCTCTCCTCTCCCTCTCCTCTCCTCTCCTCTCCCTCTCCTCTCCCTCCTCTCCCTCTCCTCCCTCTCCTCTCTTCCTCTCCTCCTCCTCTCCTCTCCTCTCCTCTCTTCCTCTCCTCTCCCTCTCCTCTCCTCTCCTCTCCTCTCTTCCTCTCCTCTCCTCTCCTCTCCTCTCCTCTCTCCTCTCCTCTCCCTCTCCTCTCCTCTCCTCTCCTCTCTTCCTCTCCTCTCCCTCTCCTCTCCTCTCCTCTCCTCTCCTCTCTTCCTCTCCTCTCTTCCTCTTTCTCCTCCCTCTCTTCCTCTCCTCTCCTCTCCTCTCCTCTCTTCCTCTTCCTCTCCTCTCCCTCTCTGCTTCCCTCTTCATATCCTCTCTTCCTCTTCATCTCCTCTCTTCCTCTTCTCTCCTCTCCCTCTCCTCTCCTCTCCTCTCCTCTCTTCCCTCCTCTCCTCTCCTCTCCTCTCCTCTCTTCCTCTCCTCTCTTCCTCTCCTCTTTCTCTCCTCTCTTCCTCTCCTCTCCTCTCCTCTCCTCTCCTCTCTTCCTCTTCCTCTCCTCTCCTCTCTGCTTCCCTCTTCATCTCATCTCTCTCCTCTTCATCTCTGTCTAATCCTGTTTTACAGGACGGGAGGCGGGAAGACTGGACGCAAGATTTTGAGATTTATGGACAAAATCGCTAATCCAAGTACTTCCAGAAGGCGGCAGAGAACGAGTTCATCAAGAAGAAGTTTGAGGAGATGTCCAACACGCCCCTGCTGCTCACCGTGGAGGTCCAGGAGCTGTCAGGGACCCTCGTCGTCAACATCCCACCGCCTCCATCAGACAGGATATGGTCAATACCGTCGCTTCATGCCTCTGGTTCGGATGGTGGTTTGCACAGCGGCAGGACACTGAATGGTCCTGTTGTGATCTCCTCTGCAGGTACAGCTTCTGCGTCCCCCCCAAGCTGGACCTGCATGTCCGTCCCAAGCTCGGCGAGAGGGAGGTCACCTTCTGTCACGTCACCGAGTGGATTGAAAAGAAGCTGCAGGACGAGTTCCAGGTAGAAAAGGAACAAGCGTCCTTCGCTGCCGTCGTCCTCTCAGCTTTCCTCGCCCTCATCTCTTGTCCTTCCTCCAGAAAGTGTTCGTGCTGCCAAACATGGACGACATCTGCGTCCCCCTGATGCGCTCGGTGGTGGACGGGCCCCGACCGGCCGCTCGGCCCAAGCCGCCCCGCAGCTCCTCCAGCGAGTCCATCCAGGGGATCCCGCCGGAGGCCCACGAGTCGGACTAGAGGACAAACCGCACAAGTGATACCTTCAACTAATGTTTACGCGTGAGGGTTCCTGCACCTCAACGCCACGAAACCCCGAGGAACAAAACGCAAATGTGAGGCAGAAGAAACCCGTTTCCTCTTTTGTAGCAGAGATTACACTGTTCCTGCGTGTGATCGATGTAACGCCTCATATTTAAAAAAGCACCATTAAACAGAACAGTGCTGTAAATTAACACACAATGTTGGTGTTTTTGTTCAAATAATTTCAAAGACTCAAGCTGGTGGAAAAACAACCCGTGTAAAATGCATGAAATGGAATCACACGAGGAAGGCGTGTGATGATGTGTGGGAGGGCGTGTGTGTGCGTGTCGCTCTGCGGGACGCCGTCGAGTTATTTGCGTCATGGTTCGTTGGAGCGGCTGCGTTTGAGTGTGTGATGATGTCGTTGCAGCGAACGTCGTTATTCCACCGTGGAAATAAACCACATGAACATTCTAATAATCATCCAGCAGCTTCACGGGGTGATTCCAGCTCAACGCACTAAGCTGCTGCACCGCCACACACGTATTGATCGCGTGTCAGACACTCTTTCACTTGTTTTTCAGGGGATTAGGAGGGAGGGAGGAAGGGAGGAAGGGAGGAAGGGAGCTCCTTCTGACGAGCTTTCATCAGGATGAAGTGACAGTTTGATCCAAGGTGACAGGTTTATTATTAGTTACCAGCTGTTGTGTCTTCAGAGGGCATCAGACACGCTGGAGCGTCGTTCAAGTGCTCATAAACACACACAGTCACAAGTGTTACTGTTGTTGCACTGATCAATTATTGTTATTTACTTAGTTTAAATAGCTTAGATTATTATTAGTAATGACATATTTTAATATTATTGATTAAAACAACTGGTTTTAGTTACGTCTTATGTTGTGTATCTAGTGTGAAAACATCGCCTACAAATAACTGAACTCATTCCACGACTTCTTACAAGATGAACTTTAACCACATTATGTAAACGAGTGCACAACGCACAAATATTCAAACGGGAAATTCCGTGTTGGCACCAATGTGGAAGTTTGAAAAGAATTAATTGAGTCAGACGTCTTACAGTCACCACACGCCTTCTGTGTGTGTGTGTGTGTGTGTGTGTGTGTGTGTGTGTGCCTGTGTGTGTCTGTGTGTGTGCGTGTGTGCGCGTGTGTGTGTGTGTGTGTCTGTGTGTGTGTGTGTGTGCGTGTGTGCGTGTGTGTGTGTGTGTGTGTGTGTGTCAGATGCAGCCTCATAAACCTCGTGTGTCTGATGATGTTTGATACACGTGACGGATCCCTATGTTGATTGATCGGAGCAGCTGACGGGTTTTAACATGAACACAAAGAGAAACATGAATCAGTGGTTTTTTCTCTCCTCACATAATAATTGACCATTCAATGGAAGAGGAGCTTTACGTTTTCTGGGAAATGATGAATTGATTGAATGAATGCAGTGTGATGCTGTGGCAGGATTTCTAATATACCTGTGTGACTTCCTGAACGTTTCCCGGTGCCTGTGTGACACACACACACACACACACGTACACACACACACACACACGTACACACACACACACACACACACACACACACACACACACACGCACACACACACACACACACACGTACACACACACACACACACACACACGCACACACACACACGGCCATAAAGGACTGAGTCAGGAGTAAAACTCGTCCATGAGCAGCTCGCGTTGGACTCGCCTCTCGTCTCAATGTTTCCCGTCTTTCTCGCTGTGACTCCAAACACTTCCTTGAAAAAAAAGTTCCTTTCATTACTCGTCCAAAGAATTCCCCTCAATCCTTTTCTTTCCCGCGTGTGTGTGAATGATGAGTCAAGTATGTAACGAGTTGTATCCGCAGAAAGGATCATTCTTTGTACTTCACACACTTTGCTCAGTTATGTCTTAAGATGAAATAACATTCCGAGTAACAGAAAAACCTAAGAAAGGATTTATTTATAATTCTTCTATAGTTATTAAAGGTTAAATTAAAGCACAAAGATCATTTTTGTGACCATTTCCCCTCATATTCCCGTTACATCCTCAAGTCGCGTTATGAATAAAGGATGCTGGATTCCCTCCTCGTGCAAGAACAATTTACTACAACATCATCATTAAGAATTAAACTGCACTCAATTTGCAAAGCGGTGAAAGTAAACAGAAGGATGGTGGGAACATTATTCTCAACGCTCTTTGACATCTAAACTCAAAACCTTGAATAGTTTCTATTCTCCATCAGGTGCTTTTCTTCTCCTCAGGTGTGAAACGTTTCCGGAAAGCACCGTCAATGAGCAGCTGGGCTGAATTCTCCTGTGTGAATCCTGAATTAAATAAAGACGATTTGATAACCAGAAGATCCGGCTTCACCGGTGTGACCACGCCCCTGCACGCTGCTGGCTCCGCCTCCTTTACCTGTATAGCTGCAGCGCCGGCTCACCTGCCTGCAGAGCAGAGTTCAGACGCTGAAGGTCCCTGAAGCTGCTCCTCACCCTCATCCTCATCCTCACGCCAGTGGACGATGTCCGGGGAAAGACGCTTCGTGTTCAGTGCCCGAGTGATCGGAGCCGTCCACAGGGACTCACCCAAGCTGAGGGTGAGGAAGACCCTGGTAGTTTATTTTTAGGGGTTAAATATCTACTCTATTTTTGTGAGAGTTCTGATAATGAATTTGCCTTTTTCTCTCTCCACAGGTGTTCATGATATCGGTGTTGTGGTCCGACAAGGCTGAAGTTATTGTCTACAGGTCCTTCAGCGATTTCAAGAAACTTCACGTGAGACCAACACTTCTCCCGCCTGGAAGCTCGGGGTCATTGACTATTGAGTCGTACAAATAATTCATTAAAATGTGTTTGTTTCACCCAAACAGAAGCAGCTGAAAAAGAGATTTCAACCCGTGAACACTTTAAAGAAAAACGAAAGAGTGATCCCCAAATTTAGAGGTAAGATTATTTTCACTTTGTGTCCAGACGTTTATTTAAATGGTTTACTATCTGCTCATTAATTAGAGCAAGGGTCCGATATCTGGTTTGATATTAATATTATTTGATATTTTCTGCTCTGCATTAGTTTTGTGTCTTTGTTGCATTTGATAACATCTATTTCTAAGGAGAACGCTCAAAATGTTGTCCTCACATCCATGCTGGTCCTGATCCTGGAGCGTTCCTCTCTGCAGGCCAGGCCAGGAGGAACAGCCTCCAGCAGAAAGCATCACAGCGATGCGTCCAGCGCATGAAGTTCCTGGAGACCTACTGCCACAAGCTGCTGAAGTGCGACCACGCGGTGACTCAGAGCTACGAGGCGACTCACTTCTTCTTGCCCAACGACCACGACCTGCAGGCCGACTTCACCAAGAACAGGTAGAGGGTCACGTCGGCGTGGAGCTCCGGTCCTGTGGCGGTTCCGTAGTAGTTGTGCGTTCCTAAAGGCCCGACTTCTCTCTCCCACAGCATCGTGATGCTGCTGTCTGACGATGTGCCCGATGGCGCCGCTGTGAGGCGTCAGCACGCCGCCAGCGTCACTCACCCGTTTGTCAGCCAGACTCACCGCTGCGTGGCTGCTTACGAGACAAAGGACACCAACAACCGGCCCTTTAAGGTGGCTGTGGACCAGGAGCTGGAGGTGCTGATCAAAGACCCGGCAGGTCGGTGCTAAACTTTCCCTCAGTCGCCTCCTGGAAAGCAGCAAAAAGCTCCAGATTACGCCGGCAACCGTTTCCATCCTGCTCAGAGCGCGTTTCACCTGCAGGCTGGTGGCTGGTGGAGGACGAGGACAAACACCTGGCCTGGTTTCCTGCTCCCTACCTGGAGTTGTGGGACCAAGAGGGCGGCGGCGATGATGATGATGGTGACGATGGTGACGATGATGTATTCCCACTCGCAGGTGTGTGATCCTAATTACAATGAGCAAGTACACAAAGTGACTTCATCGAACCAGCTTGATTACACAACTGTGACATTGGTGTGACCTCAGCGGCTTTACTGTGGAACTCGAGGCGCGTCGATGAAGCCGCTTCATGAAACTATGCAGCTAGTTGTTACAGACCACAACACGTTGATGTGTGCTGACATGCACTGAGCTCGTGGTCTTGTTGGTGACCTGTAGGTGCCCTGTACTGTGCCGTGAGGAGTTACTCCACCAAGGAGGAGGACGAGGTGTCCGTGCCCATTGGCTCCGTGGTGGAAGTGCTGAGGAAGACCGATGACGGCTGGTGGTTCATCAGGTTCGATGGAAAATCAGGCTACGTCCCTTCCAGGAACCTGAAACCTCACAACCACCCACTGCACCTCCTGCACAGAAAGCTGCACAGTTCCACTCTGAACCTGACGGCCGGCAGCGATCTTCAGGCTCCTCGGGTTCCTCGGCCACGAGAGTCTCCAGGTCAGTCCAGAGGAGGTCGCCTCCAGAAGGCCCGATCTCTGGACTTCCTCTCTGAGACGCAGTCGCCCTCGACCTCAGACGGCCGTGGGCGCAGCATGAGCGCCGAGACCGACTTCCCCTCGAGCTCATCAAGTCGCCCCGGCGGTCCCGCAGCCTCCCTGCAGCCCGGTGGCGGGGGGAGCGGCAGCCCCATTAGCGTCCTCTCGGGCCGCCGTGGCTCCAGCACCGGATCCGACAGCTCCGGGTCTGCGAGCTCCGGCGGAGGTGAGACGCCCTCAGCGGCTCCCGGGGTTCCCCCCAGACCCAAGACCGAGGAGATCCTGACCCGGTGCAGCACCACGACCCGCAGGGCCGCCATGGCCTCCAGGAGCCGGCTCTGATTTATGAAAATGTCCTTGTAACACATTTAACCTGTCGGCCGTGTTTTGTGCAGCACTGTTTATATCATTATTTACATGTTTGTCATGCAAGAGGTGCACGTTACTTTGGCATGTAGATATTTGTTGAAAGTTGACCGTAATAAAAGAAACGTAGCTTCAGTGAAGCGTCAGAAGGAACAATGAAATGTACACAACATTTTTATGCACAAGTGCACAAATTGTCTGTATATCTTCTTCAGCTTTGAGTTGAATAGAGACTGTTGGTTGATTATTTACTCTAAATTCTCACATGTTCACATCAGCACAGAAACACGAAGCTTCCAAATGAAGCCGCTGAATGTGACGGTGACAGTTTCCTGTTATAACATGTTGCTAGTTTTGTTGCTTATTGTATTAATATTAATATTTATAATATTGTCCTTTCATGTACAGTATGTTCTGCATTATTTATGTGTAAACTTATAAACATGACAATAAAGTCGGATTTAAACTAAAGTATCAAGAATTTCCTGTTTAATGAATCAAATATTTTAGTATGACCTTTGAGGTATTTCTACATTAAATATATTTTAATCATCTGAATACATTCTATTTAATAAATAGCCAAAAGTTATAATATTGTCTTTTTTGTTTCAAGGTTTAACAAAAAATATTTCCAACTAAAAGTTACTAAAGTAACTGTACAGATACACATTATACAGTAGTACAGATACACATTATACAGTAGTACAGAGAGGAGCTCACGAAATGAAGAATTAAAAACAGGTTTTACAGTCAAATGAGAGAAATCAGCAGTAGAAACGCTGCTTTGTGTTTCTGTTTCCCTGAAACGACGTCTTCTACCGCGACGCCTCGCTAACAATGAAGGAGTGTAATATCTTCCCTCCTTTCATCCACCTGAACGTGCAGACGGCCACTTGGCAGCGCGTCGGCTTTTGTGGCCTTCCCGTCACCCGGTTTAGTGGGTCACGCTCCTTTTAACCCGAGCGCCATTCATCCGCCCGCCGCCAAAGGAAATCGATACGGTGACTCCTTTGTGAAGTTCTGAGGTGGCGATAAGGGAAGCATTTGTTGTGTTATTACAGGAAAGATAAGGAAACCCGATCTGATACGCACTGCGATCGGACCAGAGGCCGACTTCGTTCTCTCAAAGAGCTTAAAGTCTGTCTGCGTTAAGACAACACGAAGGCTCGGCTCCATCCGATGAGTCACTAAATGGAATCTTTCATTTCATTACTGTCTGTATTTCTTTCTGCATAGTTGCTATAGCAGCACATCATAACTCATAACACACACACAGCTCAGGAAGAAGAGCTTCACTTGACGTAAGACAACGGGTTTGTTGCGTAATGGACCCGGTGGATCCGTCACCCTCGTGATCTGCAGCTGTGACTCCTACTTTCAAACTAATTGAGTAAAAGCCCAAATAATGAGCTTTGATTTGACAAACAGGTGAGACGGCTGGAGACCATTTGTGGGGACGTGGACCGGCCTCCCGCCTGTCACTCAGGTGGGGGGTGAGGGGGGGGGGGGGGAGCAGCTCCGTGCACCTCGCCGCATCACAGCCGGTTCGAGCCACCAGAGGCCTTTGAAAGAGTTCAGTGTCCCTTCTAAAGGCATTTCGAAGCCTTTAACCACATGAATCCCTGCTGAGCACGAGCCAATCGATCAACTGATCATTGATCCAACGATTCCACACACCTCACTCTGATCTCTCACGTTTCTTCTTCCTGAGGCTGCGTTTGAAAGGCGTCTGGAGAGCTGCTGCATGAAGCGTGCACGAGTCTGAGTCTGGACTCTGTTGCTATAGCAACTGTCTAGAGTTTAATGAGCATCAGCTGTGCCTCCCTTTGGCTTTAATGGATTCATATTAGACCACACGGTGTAAACGTGTACATAACCACTGGAGGCCATAAGTGTGGTGACTTGTTTACACCGGTTGCTTCACAAAGGACAGCTTGTGTTTCTCACACACACACCGACGGGATTCCTTTTTGTACCTATTTTGCACATAATGAAGGGATTGCAGATGTTGTATGTATCTGTATGTACAACATGAAGCTTTATGAGCTCAATATTAAGTTGAATCTGGGTCATCCATTTCACAACAAAACAAGAATTACAGTCATTGCATCACACACACACACACACACACACACAATCATTACAGAGCTGTTTCAATGACTGTAATAAAAGCAAAGTGCAAACTGTGTCCACAGCGGCACGCGTTTGATTAATCATCCACCTCGGTTCTGAAGATAAACACAGGAGTTACCGTAACCCTCGGATCTATTTCCTCTTCGGTAAACGTCTGTATCGTTTTCACATTTTGCAACAACTGAATCTCAACTTACGGCCCCTTGTAGTCGCGTTGTGATGAGTTGGAGTTTCAAGCATAAAGTAGCTAAAGTAAATAAAAGGTTGGCAGAGACCTTGTTGATGTGGAGATTGTTGCGTTTGGCTGATAAGCGGCGAAACAATCGGTTTATGATGGAGGATGAACTCGCTCTCTGCAGTGATGAAACCGTGTCCTCCAATCCAATCTAATCCCGATTACATGCACGGTGCTCAGCAGTGAGTCATGAGCAGGGCCGGTCACTAATTCCTTCATTGTTCTGCCTTTGTCACCTTTTAGCTGAAATGCTTCATGCTGTGTTTGATTGCATGACGGACATTAAAACATGGATGGACCTAAACTTCTTAAACCTAAACAGAGATGGTGCTATTTGGTCGCCCTGACTGGGTCCAGGTCCTTGCCAGCTCCCTTGGCCCACTAGCACCTTACATAGGTTCCCAGGCCACAAACCATGGTGTAATTATTGATGGGGCGTTTAAATTGAACAAGCAGGTCAGCTCTGTGGTTGGTTTCATTCAGCTTCGGCTTCTAGCCAAAGTCCAACCCGATCTAAACAGGGCTGATCTGGAGAAAGTCATGCACGCTTTTACATCTTCACGTTTGGACTCCTGCAACTCGCTGTGTGTCGGTATCGGCCGTTCAGGACTCAACCGTCTACAGCTGGTGCAGAATGCAGCAGCCCGTCTCCTGACCGGGACAAAGAAACATGGGCACATGACGCCGGTGCTTTCCTCTCTGCACCGGCCTCCGGGCTGGGTTCAGAATTCATTTTAAGAATCTTAAGTCTCATGGACCGGTCCCAGAATATTTATTAATGTGCAATTTTTTAAATTACATTTTTCTTTTCTTTTTTTTACTTTATTCCCTTGTTTTATACTAACCCATAGCCTTATTCTACTAACCCATTGCATTAACATTTCATTTTACTTTATTTTATTACTTGTGCACTGCTGTCTTGTCTATTGTCACACTGTCTACTGTCGCGCACCAACCGCAAAGACAAATTCCTTGTATGTTTGGCATATTTTGGTAATAAATGTTTCCTGATTCCTGATCAACCCTCCAGAGCCCTGAGGTCAGCTGACCAGCGGCTTCTGAACGTTCCTTAAAACGAAAGGAGATGGAGCCTTCGCAGTAGCGGCTCCCCCACTGTGGACGCTTTGCCGTTTTCTGTGCGGTCGGCGACCTTTTTACTTTTAAAACTCGCCTTAAGACCCACTGGTTCACGTTGGCCTTTGGCTGACTTAAGTCACCTGCATTGGATCTTTGATTTGTTTGCCTTTTACTGTTTTTGCTTGTTTGTTGTTTCACTTTTGCTCGTATTGTTTATTGCTGCTGATTATTTTTATCATGTAAAGCAGATGGCTGGCGATTGGCCTTAAAAGTGCTTGAAATGATTGACTTTTGAAATCTCAAGAAGTTCCCCTGATACCGGTTGTTTCTGGTCAGCTGGGTCGTGCGTCTGAGTGCTCAGAGGTCGGAGGGCGTTCCAGCGGGTGCACAGCGCCTTCGTTGGGTCGGAGCTCAGGCTTCACCTCGGCGTACCTGAAGGCCGCGGCGCTCCGCCGGCACCTTTCAGGAATCCTTTCACACATGCACACATTCATAAACCATCACAACCAGTCCGTCCAGTTGCTTCCAGTAAGAAATTCACAGCTCAGCGATCTCCACCACAACCGGTGCACCCTCCGTCGGGTGGAGCCGATACAGCCAACTGACAACTAATAGTTGAAAATCAAGCTCTCTGCAGTCCTGGAATGTTTTAAAGATACGATCAACACGCTGGCAGCATTTTGGTATGAAGAGTGTCCACAACTTGAGCCAAAAACAACTGGCTGCATTGATATGGAATGATTTACGCTTACCCAGGACCTGACAGCCAACTTTGTAAACTCCGTGCTAACGCCCACTTTGACCGCTAAGAACCTCGGCGTCACACTCGACAGCCGACTCTCCCTGACTCCCAACATCGCCGCGACAACGCGATCCTGTAGATACTCGCTCTACAACATCAGGAGAATACGTCCCCTTCTCACTCAGAAGGACGTACTGATTCAGGCTCTTGTCGTCTCCCTCCTGGACTACTGTAACTCGCTCCTGGCTGGTCTCCCTGCCACCGCCATTCCACCTCTGCAGCTCATTCAGAATGCAGCAGCTCCACTGGTCTTTAACCTAAATTCTCCCACACTCCTCCACTCCTCCGCTCTCTTCACTGGTACCGGTGGCTCATCCAGTTCTAAACATTGGTGCTCACGTACCATGCTGTGAATGGATGGGGTCCAGTTTACATCCAGGACCTGGTCCAACCCGACATCCCAACCCGCACTCTCCGCATCTGCAAAACTACTCGTCCCTCCTCACTGAGAGCAAAACACTCGACTAGGTCTCCACTCTTCGCTGTCCTTGCGCCGAAATGGTGGAAGGAGGTCTCTGAAGACATCAGGACCGCAGAGAGCCTTCACATCTTCCGCCGCAAACTGAAGACACACCACTTATTGGTTCCTGTCCTCTTAAAGGACACTTATTGGTTCCTGTCCTCTTAAAGGACACTTATTGGTTCCTGTCCATAAGACACGTAAGTGCAGCAGGTCGATGTGCAAAGCTGAAACGTCCACACGTCTCAATATTCATTAGACAAGGACGCAAGAAGGAGTTACTGAAGAGCACATTAGATTTTATTGACATATTTGAACTTGTGACCAGGTTATGATGTAGCACCCACTGCACATGAGTGTAAATAACTATACAATTGAAATGAAAAGTGAAGGTCATAATCAAATTATGGTTAGAATAACTCCTGTGAATGATAAAAGTGAACAAGAACTCAGTGATTAATTACATTCGAACACCAAAGCAGTATAAAAAAAAATTGTGATGAGTGATAAAGAAAGATACATAAAACAGTTGGTATAAAAACCTCTACTTCCTCATTAACGCCAACAATCCACACATTTCTTTTACACGACTAGTTCATGTTGTTTCCTGCTCCTTCTGACGCTACGTGATGATACAGTTTCACATGTGTTCATTTTGTCTCTGGTGCAACAAAACTAATTAAGATCCAACAATGCTGCATCAAACACACCTGGCAACGGGTTAAACAGGTGTTCCCTTAAGAGCTCGTAAAAAGAAGGCGAGCGATTCGCTAGCGGCTGTAGATGGACTCCGGCTGGATCTGAAGCCGGCTCCTGGAGGCCATGGCGGCCCTGCGGGTCATGGTGCTGCACCGGGTCAGGATCTCCTCGGTCTTGGGTCTGGGGGGAACCCTGGGAGCCGCTGAGGGCGTCTCACCTCCGCTGGAGCTCGCAGACCCGGAGCTGTAGGAGCTGGTGCTGGACCTGTCGGAGCTGGTGCTGGACCTGTCGGAGCTGGTGCTGGACCTGTCGGAGCTGGTGCTGGACCTGTCGGAGCTGGAGCTGGTGCTGGAGCCACGGCGGCCCGAGAGGACGCTAATGGGGCCGCTGCTCCCCCCGTCACCGGGCTGCAGGGAGGCTGCAGGGCCGCCGGTGGGACTCTCACGCGGGTCCTTGTCTCTTGAACGTGAGGACGATGGGCTGTTTGAGAAGCTGGTGTCGGTGACGGTGCTGCTCATGCAGCGTGCACGGCCGTCTGAGGTGGAGTCGTCTCTCACTGTTATGGATTGCGACTGGGCCTCGGACAGGATGTCCAGGGATCGGGCCTTTCTGAGGGGACCTGGCTCGCTGGGCCCTCTCCCCGGCTGGCCGGCAGAATACGGCCGCGGGTGGACGCTTGCTGGACGAGGAGGCCGAAGATCCCTGCTGGTCGCCAGGTTCAGAGTGGAACCGTGCAGCTTTCTCTGCAGGCTGTACAGGCCGGCCCGCGGGTTGTTGTAGGGTTGCAGGTGCATGGAAGGGATGTAACCTGCCTTCCCATTGAAGCTGTAGAGAGCACAGCGAAGAAAAAAAACAAAATGGAGATTTATTCAAATTTTGTTCAGCAATTGCCAAGCATGGCAATGAGAAATACTCACTGCTGTTAATCTGTATTTCAACTTAAAATCTAATAAAACCAGCTGTCTAACTTTCCCTCTCTGCATGTGAAGAAGATGGAGATACCTGATGAACCACCAGCCGTCATCGGTCTTCCTCAGCACTTCCACCACGCAGCCAATGGGCACGGACACCTCGTCCTCCTCCTTGGTGGAGTAACTCCTCACGGCACAGTACAGGGCACCTACAGGTCACAACAAGACCACGAGCTCAGTGCATGTCAGCACACATCAACGTGTTGTGGTCTGTAACAACTAGCTGCATAGTTTCATGAAGCGGCTTCATCGACGCGCCTCGAGTTCCACAGTAAAGCCGCTGAGGTCACACCAATGTCACAGTTGTGTAATCAAGCTGGTTCGATGAAGTCACTTTGTGTACTTGCTCATTGTAATTAGGATCACACACCTGCGAGTGGGAATACATCATCGTCACCATCGTCACCATCATCATCATCGCCGCCGCCCTCTTGGTCCCACAACTCCAGGTAGGGAGCAGGAAACCAGGCCAGGTGTTTGTCCTCGTCCTCCACCAGCCACCAGCCTGCAGGTGAAACGCGCTCTGAGCAGGATGGAAACGGTTGCCGGCGTAATCTGGAGCTTTTTGCTGCTTTCCAGGAGGCGACGGAGGGAAAGTTTAGCACCGACCTGCCGGGTCTTTGATCAGCACCTCCAGCTCCTGGTCCACAGCCACCTTAAAGGGCCGGTTGTTGGTGTCCTTTGTCTCGTAAGCAGCCACGCAGCGGTGAGTCTGGCTGACAAACGGGTGAGTGACGCTGGCGGCGTGCTGACGCCTCACAGCGGCGCCATCGGGCACATCGTCAGACAGCAGCATCACGATGCTGTGGGAGAGAGAAGTCGGGCCTTTAGGAACGCACAACTACTACGGAACCGCCACAGGACCGGAGCTCCACGCCGACGTGACCCTCTACCTGTTCTTGGTGAAGTCGGCCTGCAGGTCGTGGTCGTTGGGCAAGAAGAAGTGAGTCGCCTCGGAGCTCTGAGTCACCGCGTGGTCGCACTTCAGCAGCTTGTGGCAGTAGGTCTCCAGGAACTTCATGCGCTGGACGCATCGCTGTGATGCTTTCTGCTGGAGGCTGTTCCTCCTGGCCTGGCCTGCAGAGAGGAACGCTCCAGGGTCAGGACCAGCATGGATGTGAGGACAACATTTTGAGCGTTCTCCTTAGAAATAGATGTTATCAAATGCAACAAAGACACAAAACTAATGCAGAGCAGAAAATATCAAATAATATTAATATCAAACCAGATATCGGACCCTTGCTCTAATTAATGAGCAGATAGTAAACCATTTAAATAAATGTCTGGACACAAAGTGAAAATAATCTTACCTCTAAATTTGGGGATCACTCTTTCGTTTTTCTTTAAAGTGTTCACGGGTTGAAATCTCTTTTTCAGCTGCTTCTGTTTGGGTGAAACAAACACATTTTAATGAATTATTTGTACAACTCAATAGTCAATGACCCCGAGCTTCCAGGTGGGAGAAGTGTTGGTCTCACGTGAAGTTTCTTGAAATCGCTGAAGGACCTGTAGACAATAACTTCAGCCTTGTCGGACCACAACACCGATATCATGAACACCTGTGGAGAGAGAGAAATGACGTTTGACTTGAACCCTTCACACAAACATCAACACATACACATCTAACAGCTCACACAAGGTCTTCCTCACCCTCAGCTTGGGTGAGTCCCTGTGGACGGCTCCGATCACTCGGGCACTGAACACGAAGCGTCTTTCCCCGGACATCGTCCACTCGCGTGAGGATGAGGATGAGGATGAGGAGCAGCTTCGGGGACCTTCAGGCGCTGGACTCTGCTCTGCAGGCAGGTGAGCCGGTTTGGCTCTGATATGCACCGCAGGTGAAGGAGGCGGAGTCAGACAGGGCGGGGAAAAGGGATGCCGAAGCAGAGGATTGGTCAAACGGGAGTGACGTCATGTTCTGGCAGCATCCAAATCAGAGTCATTTATTTGACAGCTTTTAAATTGGGAGATTATTAAAACAATTGTCTCACATTTAATGAATACAACATGTAGACATAGTTGTCCGTAATTAGATTATTCATCATCAGTCGTATTACATAATGATGTTTTGTTGTTTAAACAAATTACAAAAAAACGAAAAAATGACAAAAAAAACAAGCTAATGAAAAGGCTGTGTGCTACTAAATGCTAAGCTAGCGGCCTCCTGGTCGTAGCTTCGTGTTTAGCAGGTGTCTGGAGAATGTTAATACATCAGCTGCCGTCTCGCTCAATCGCTTCCTCGTATCGCCGGTAATTAAATTACGCAATCATTCACACCTGTCATCTGCCAGCAATACTTCCTTATCCAGAGATAGTGTGGAGAGCCCGGCGTGTGTGTGTGTGTGTGTGTGTGTGTGACTGGGAAAAGGTGAGCACGTGTCCGTGTGTGTGTGTGTGTGTGTGTGTGTGTGGGAACAGGTGAGCACGTGTGTGTGTGTGTGTGTGTGTGTGTGTGTGTGTGTGTGTGTGTGTGTGGGAACAGGTGTTCCTTCAAAGTGAGGCTTGCCCGGTGGGACCGGAGCCGGCGGGTTTTTCCCGACCACTCACCAGATGGACCAGGCTGCGGGGTCGTAGTCTGAAGTGGTGCCAGGACATTATCACACACACACACGCAGACACACAACACACACAGTGCCGGAATGTCCAGCTTTGTGTACAACGTGAGGGGATGTCAACGCCTGCGCGTAAAGGCACATGAACAAGAGGAGCCCGACTTTGGAATTTTGGGGCTTTTGGGCTTTTGCTTTGCATTGAGCATAACAACGGGTAGTGCGGCCACAGAACACACATGGACGCACAAGGACGCACGTGTCACGATCACGCCGTACCAGCTGACTCTGCGACGCGGTCTTGGAATTTGGCTGCAAAAGTGTTGGTTTTGTGAATAGTTTCAGTGTTGTTTCCAACCAGCAGAACAAGAAACCTCCAAACGGGCGTTCCAACCACTCTGCACACACCGCGCTGCTCTAGAAAACCTGCAGAAAATAAACGGATCACCATTCATTTCGATCAAGAACTATAGCAACTTGTAAAAGAAAATGAAAACATTAATAATCTTCAATTATGGTGTCACCATTTTAAAATGTCTGGGTGTGTTTTTGTGGGAGTCTTCTTTGGACCATAAAGGTCTCACCATGACGTCCTGGACAGAGAGCATGACTTTGTTTGATTTGTTCTGCTTCACAGTCCCACACAGTCGATTTTCCTTGGGACCGACAGGGAAACGTTGGTGCCGCCTCACTGACTTTGTTTCTCGCCGAAACAAACACTTTCCCAACTATTGGTTGACCTTTTGAATCCTAATCCGGATTAAATGCCGATAACAAGGAGGAAGCACCGACCTCTTCCCCGTCACACATGAGGAAATGTGCTGTGGGTTTTTTATATATGGCCACATAATTCTTTTGGACTCAGCTTGTCAGTTAATTGCAAACCAAACAGATGACGACGTGGCATGAAACGCCCTTCGTGGCTTTCTGCACAGCCTCTGGCAAACACTATAAAACTCTCTAGAGGCTAAAAGTGAGGCTGGCAAGCACACATTAAAGGCCGGACACTTTACTGCACTTTTAAGCATTCGGCTACGGAGAACGAAATACAAACATGCTGCAATCTGTGATCAGATGAATCTAATATCAAAACAGATGGTATGACGGCGATTCGGTAAACACAGGCTGCCATGTAGTCAGAACGGTTGGTCCAAACAAACAGCCGGTCCCATCCAGAGCGTCCCGAACGGGCACGACGACACCCAGCATTGTGGAGGAGCCGGGCTGAAAGGACTCTTCTTCGCCATTATTCACCATCATGTTGTTATCTTCTGGCAAAGGAAGATCACAATCATACTTCTGCATTCATGCATCATGTTTCCTACAAACTCTCCCTAAAGTGAAATGAACTAATCACTATGAAACCAGTTTATTATATCGGTCACTTTGACGTTTTTATCCTCCTCTTGTTAAGACGTTCAGTTCAGATGTTTCCCAGCTTGTTACTTTTGATTTTGATTCTTTTGTAGGCTGCATTAAGGCGTGCAGAAGGTTTACCCAAAGGCCTTGCATGAAGTCAAAAGCACAATGTGGATAATGCAATAAAAATGACACTCCTGCAGATGGATACACCTGTTCTTCTCGAAGTTGGAGGATAAGACAATGGGCCGAACCCGGTGAGAATACTACTGTAAAGTATATAAATAGATATATATACACACATATATGTCTGTCTGTGAGTCAACATAAACGCATGTAAACACACACAGTGTGGAAAATAGTGCTGCAAGAAATCAGATTTCCTTTGCTCACATCATAATGTTTATGTTTGTTTTATCTTTAACCTCATTTAACCTTATTGTTTTAATTGGCAAAAGACATCTGCGCGCATACACACGTATGTCAAACAATCTGTTGCGTGTTGTGCAAACTTTTTCAAATTCTTTCTTTTGTGTACAAAACCGGAAACTGACTACGCCCAACTGGTTTCTGTCAGACTGAATCCAAATCAACACCTCTGCAGGTTTCACTTTGACTGCTTTATCTTCTTTCTTTAACATTTAGGTTAGTTTCATATTCCTGCTGCTCTTATTTGAAATGAATTTTCTTTTCAACGGGAAAAAGGTGTTATATATTAATAAACTGGGCTGAAGATTCACCCAAAATGTCTTTGTTTTTGGAGAAGTAATTACCTGTGCAGGTGCAGACGCCTGCGACTGGTCCTACCTGGGCGGACGTGTCAGCAGTACACCTGGAAAGTGACCTACCTAAAGTGAAAGAACTGCCGTAGCAGCCGAATGAACAACGCACACCACTTGGATTCAGCGTTGCCAGTTTGATTCTGTCTCTTATGGTATTCATCGTCTTGGTTTAGCATGTTAGCATGCTAACGTTTGCTAATCAACACAAGACAGGTCCTCAGGTGTCTGCTCATATTGATATTCATATCATATCGAACAGTCACACATGCAGAGTTGTTGTACTGGAGACAAACGTCTCTGGGAATCGCTCCAATGGTTGGTGAGAGCTTTCAGTCAGGAGGGGCGGACGGGCGATCCGTAGTGCCACGCTGAGAGTCTCCGATACCTGCATGGCGCCCCAGCAGCGGCCTGCCGAGGCCTGCGGGTCACTCAGAGGCGTTTGCTCGTGCCGACGTCGGCTCTCCTGTTCGCCCCCTGCAGACCAGAACCACTGGTCACCGGTGTAGAAGAACCACAGGCAGCACTCGGTGAGAGGAGTGAGAAGGACGCGTGCATCACGCCAGAGTCACTACACGTCTCACATCGCGGCAGGAAAAGTCTCACATTCGTCTCCAGTGGCTTTGTTTTCAGGGTTTGACTTTATCGTTCCGCTTTATCGTCTTTCTAAAACATTTAGGTTAGTTTGACATTTCTGCTGCTCTTATTCGAAATGGTTGAAGTAAGCGGATGTTACTAAACACGCGTTATACATTAATAAATTGGGCTGAAATCCCAAAAGTCGTGCATGATGTCATGAGGGCGTTATGTGTCTCTGTTTTTGGAGTATGTGATTATCACACGTAATTATTAAGTAATCACACCGGCAGACGTAATTACTTAATAATTACCTGTGCAGGTGCAGACGCCTGCGACTGGTCCTACCTGGGTGGACGTGTCAGCAGTACACCTGGAAAGTGACTTGCATAAAGTGAAAGGACTGCCGTAGCATGTTAGCATGCTAGCATTTGCTAATTAGGTTGCTGACAGTTTTGCAGGTACGTGTCACAGGGGGATTTATATCTACATTATAATCCCATTAATCGCAGTACAAATCAATCCATGGCGCTGAGAGCTTTGAATCCCGTAGCACTGAAAATGTCCAACAACCGTCTTCCTTGTCCTCTGATGCCTCCCTGTGGGGGACTTTGGGGTTGGAAGGACCGCTGGGTTCAGTCTGCGACATTCATGCCCCCCTCAGGAGGAACTCGCCTGCCGGCCGAACCGCGTTCCTGTAGCAGCGGTTAGGTGGAAGACGTCCATCTGTCCACCACTGGTCACTGGTGATAACAGACGTCTTTGGTTTGAGCGACGCTCACGTTACACCTGCTTCACGGGGGCATTGTGTCACACTGCTCTGCTCAGGACAAAGATTGTATGAGTGGTTGTTGGGTTGTTTTAAACAAAGTGATGCAGGGTGAAAAGTCTAATTATTGTGTTGACAAATTATTTCAATAGTTATTTAACTGTAACGCAGATTGTTTTAGACTTTAAAATGAATAAATAATGATTGAGGTGTATATTTGTCAGATAAAAACACAGTGAACGGTATTTTTTTTAAATCCATTCTTTACAGTCACACCAATTCAATCCAAAACACACTGTTATAATACAACTCTGATAAACTTTAGAGAGATGGCACCATCACGCGGGAAGGGAACATGATCAGGGAGTGTTTTCATAGGCAATTTGAACAAAGTATTTCCTTTCATGAAGATAGATTCTTTTCTTTTTTCATATACATACACACATTATATATACACACAAGGATAGAATACAATTCTGTCTCTGAAAACTGCAGGTTTTATGTTTGAAGAGTGCCATGTTAAAAGCGTTGCATAGTCGAGGGGACAGAAACGTGGGGATGGAGAGCATCTTCGTTTAAAAGGACAGACGAGGGAGTAAAAAGCTCTTTGTTTGATGCAGTGAAAAGAAAAAAGAATACTTGTGTTTGTTTTGGCTCTGAACCTCCGCTGTCAAACCCTTAAAAACCCGTCAAGAAGCTCGTCCTGCTCATCATTTGTAACGTAAAGTCCGTCTTTGTGCAAATGTAATGCAATAGAACAAGATCCACAGCAGCCACATGTCGATAATAATCTCTGGGGGGGGGGGGGGGCTCGTTCAGCTCGTCACTCACATTGCAGCCTTTAAAAGTGTCACTCAACCATCCTGTTGGCGGACAAACAAAGAGCCCCAAATACTGCCGCTGTAGCTTATGGGCTGATTAACGCTCCGATCAATCAGGAAGCCAAACTCCTCGCCCACCGACATGGCGTTTTACTTGGTTAGAGGTCGTGTCGGCGTCCTCAGAGTCGTCGTCCAGGGGGGGGGGAGGTCATGTGCGTTCATGCTCACCCGTCATTGGCCGAGTGAAAGCCGGCGACGCTTCTGGTTGCAAACAGAGCGTGCGAGTTTTTCAAACCAGACGTTAAAACTGATGATGAAGTCCTGCGGCCCGGTGGGAGCTGCTGGTTGGCATCCATACATTCATCCGTCCACCGGTCACTCTGCGTCCGATTGTTGGCCACGCGTACGAGTCTGCAGACCTTCTGCTGTGACCTTCGCCTGTGTCCTATCACGCGAGGATCCGCGGAGGCAGCCGGGGTCACCGGAACTCGTAGACGGCAGCGCTGTGCTCGGGAACGTGGGTGAGGTTCAGGGACTGGTACCTGCAGCATGAGGACACCGCACGGGTTACAGGCACAAGTGTTTGACTGACCAAGCTTTCACCACCTAGCGGGGAGGGTTTGTGGAGGCCGAAGATGTTAAAAAGAACATCATGTGGACTGTATTAAAAGTCTGAAGCATCTGTTCATCCACACCAGGCCGGAGTCTTCTGATACAACCGAAGTCAAAAGCAAGAATAAAAGGCTTTGCTAGAATAAAAAAGTTGGATGTTAAGATGTAAAAACTCTTGACTTGAGGAACTGACAAACAAACAAAGTGCGTTCAGCCTTTTCCCTGTGTGGGCAGCGAGGTGGTCCTCTGAAGAAGGACCACCTTTAGAGGACCATAACATTCGTCACGACGGTGAGGAACGTCCACGTTACAGCGGGAATGACACGGGCGGCCAAATGAAAAACAATCAGAGCGGGAAACGGCTTCTGGGGATCGGTCGCAGGAAGGGATGAAATATACTGGATGGAATTTGGGGGGCTGCTTGTAACAATGGCCGAAGCATTATGTGCAGAGGCACATGAAAGGAATGCCAAAGAATGTCAAACCAAATTGAAAACACTAAAGTACAAGCGGGCCTCAGTTTGCTCCCAGCCAGGAATGACAACCATATTAATCAAATGCAACAAACTGAGGGTCGGATTGTTCTGCTTCATCCGTATAAGGTTACACAGTCTAACTAGGAGCTGTTCGGAAAGGCCACATTCATCAAACGGTAAAGATCTGAGCGCAGCCTGACAGACGCCGCAGAGACGTGGACATTCGGTCCATGGAGGACTTTTCCCCGAGCACATGTTGCAGCAACGGCAACCTTCCAGCAACAAGTGTGCTGATTTGAAAAATGACTCCAACGGACTTTACCATTCGGAGCTCCTGTGGTAGTAGTAGCCCTCGATCGTTGCCGTGGATTTCTGGAAGCATATGTAGTAGAATCCAGCAAAGGAAGCTCCGCTGATGTCTTTTATTGTGTGGTCGGGCACCAGGAACTGCTCCTGCAGGGACGGACGGGCGCGAGAAACAGAAGCAGCTGCAGCCCAGAGGTGACTTAATACAACATGTGCATGGTCACACCGAACGTGGGGCGCCTTACCTTCCACCTCATGAATATGTAGTCAGAGGTCTTCAGATCCTCATAGTCAAAATCATCCGAGTTGAATGACTTTGCGTACTGGTAGAAAGCCTGGAACTTGCCCTTGACAGAAGAAGCGATATAAGGATTAGGTCCCGGTAGACGCGCCAGCTGCAGGGCGCTGGTGAAGACCACGAACCAAAGCTGCGAGCCTCACCCAGTGCTTACGGTCCACATCCTCGTCTGCGTCCCACTTCCGGGTGAGAAACGGCCGCTTCCCGCTGATGATCTCCCCGGCGAAGAACGTGGTCAGAGTCGGGTATTCCTGCGACAGAAAACCGCTCACGTTACCGTTTTCTGCGGATTCTGCGAGTCGGATTCGTGCCGGTTTGGCTTTTCTTCTCTTTGTCCCGTCTATTATTGATTATTATTATTGAGTCTGTCAGTCACCCTATTAAATTATAGGGTGGGAATTCACCGCTGATAATCAATGTTTATCATGAGTTTTGTATAGAATGACAGTCGAGTCTTAACGTAACGTGACAGCATGAACACGAGAAGCAGACTAAACACTCGTCTTACAAACACAAGGAGTGTTAAATGCTTCATGTTTGTGGGTCAATAAGAAGGCAAATGCTGGCACACCTCAGTCAGCCCTTTTATCTTCAGGTAGCCACACAAGTAGGAATCCTCCATGGTGACATGCTTAAAAAGAAAAGTGCACATTTACTTCATGTTCAGAGTTTTACATTCAAATGACAGTGTCAATCAAATAATGTAGACGGATCTTTTTGACAAAACTAATACTTTCGCACAACTCAAACGCAAACTGCTATCGATCAGTGTTGCACTACATGTGTCTTTCTGGTTGAGGGGTGTTGGCAGGCCGGAGCTCACCGCTTCCCAGCTGTCAATCATCACTACGCGGTTTGACAGATCATCAACCCCCCCCCCCTGACAGCTGCCCTAAAGCGTGAGATACGCGTTCCACTGCCCCACCTGCAAAACAACCTCCACGTCGTAAGAGTTCCCTTTGCTCTTCTGGTGGCCCCTGAACTTGGAGCCGCTGTACAGCAGCGAGGTGACAACACCGGGCTGCCGGGTGTTAATCGGCGGCGGAGGAATAAGCGAGGCCGAGGATGCGAAGGCCGCGGCCGGGGAGTCGCTGGCGTGTCCAGCGGGGACAGGCATGGCTCCCGCTCGGCTGGCTGGGCACGGGTCTCGGTTGATTGCAGTCCGAGCGATGGTCTCTGTCGGCGTCTATGGAGAAGGGGGCAGAGGACCGGGAGGTCCGCCGACATTCGAAACCCCTTCGATTCCTCCACAGTTTAGTTTACCAGGCGCCAAGCTTCCAGAAAAGTATGTGGACTTCGAGCAGCAGAATGCGCGCTTCCCATTGGCCGACAGAGTTCACCTGGCCTGCAAACCGCTTGCTGATTGGCGCGGATTGCGGAAGGCTTTGTGGGGGATATCTTTCTGTAGTTCTCTCCTGTGGTGTTACGGTACGTGGAGACACTTGTTAAAACTACACTTCCCTGCTACGAGAACTGTTTGCGACGCAATCTTTCAAACACAGAAGGTCACACGCATCGCCGGGGCTGCTCGTCTAAAGCCGAGCGAGAAAATGCGAACCAGTTAATAGAGGTATAGCAACTTTATACACTTGGCCACTAACGTTACGGAAGAAAACTACTCGATGCTAACACGTATTTATTAAGCTAGCGTTCGACGAAGTAGAGACCCGCTGTCAGAAACTAGCCTAGCCTGTCAGCTAGCTTCTCTTAAAACCATAAATATCAACGTTACGTCTTCACATGACCACCACTATGTTGAGGAGGCTCCACAGCCGCTTAGGACGCGTCCTCTCTCCCGCTCACCTGTGCACAAGAAGTCAGTCCTCAGCCACAGCAGGTGAGATACGTCACCAGTGTGCACGAGGTCGGAACGTACCGTCGTTGTTCTTGTGTTGACACGCGTGATGTGTTGTTTCCAGAGCGAAAACGGTTTTATCAAGACGTCAGTATATCGCAAGGGGAAGGTACGTGTCTTAAGTCTTCTGTGATTGATTGGGGACACTTTGGTGCTCTTCACTGTGACTGTTCAGCACAGCCCTCTATGTGTGATGTTTTAGATTTGAAGAATATACACACCATTGTCCTGCTTAAATGATATATTCCAATCTTTCCTTTTAGGTGGTTTGTATGAGATAAACCTGGACAGAAGGAAATTGAAAACGCCGGGAGGGAAGCTGTTCACAGTGCCAAATGAGGCCCTGGCCATCGCCGTGGCAACCGAGTGGGACGCCCAAAGGGACACGCTGAAGTTCTACACCATGCACCTGGTACGACTGGAGGAGGGTCTATGTTTGCTTAGGATTGCTGGATATTCTTTGAGAGCTTTATTTAAAGGTTTTTTAAATTGAGCCTTCCAGTAATCGTCACGCCGAAGGCAGGAGGGGAGGAGAAAGTGTGTTGGTGAAGGGCATTAAAAAGACTGAAAATGAAATGTTGGGGCTCTTCCTGCAGAGTACACTATGCAACACCGCTCTGGACAATCCCACCCAACGTAACAAGGACCAGATGATCACTGCGGCCCTGAAGTTCCTGGAGACTGACACTGTCTGGTATACTACTTCGTTTCTTATTAACTTTGACTTGATGTTATTTCATGTTTCCTGGCAGATGTGGCGTTGAATGTTTGTTTTGTGTAGTTACAGAGTCGATGAGCCCAACGCCTTGGTTGAGCTGCAGAAGAATGAGTGGGACCCTGTGCTGCACTGGATGGAAAAAAGGTAACGGGAGCGTTCGCTTTCCTCAAGGTGTGTTAAAACACTTTCCTCATTGTCTTTATTTCTCACAACCCAATTGCAGATATGATGTCACCATTGGGTCCTCGTCCAGTATTTTGGGTCCTGAGATCCCAAACGCAACCAAAGACACTTTCCGGCAACACCTGACTTCTTACAACTTCTGGTCCCTGACAGGTGAATCACCTCCAAGCTGATCCCAGACAAACATTTAGTTTCTTCTGAAATGGGCCATGTTTTATAAATGTTGTAGTTTGGGCTGTGTGGTAATTGTAAATACGTGTAATAGTTGTGTTATTACTTTTGCACTAGCAGTAAGCTTTAATTGTAGAAGGACAGAGCTGAACAGTAATATGGCTTCTCCTGTGCAGGTCTTGAGTATGTGATCACCCAGCTGAAGTCTGTTGTGTTGTCCATGGGGATGATTGACAGACATCTGACCGTGGAACAAGCTGTGCTGCTCTCCAGACTGGAGGAGGAATACCAGGTAGAGTATTCAAATATGTTTTGCTGTTACGGCTTCAGTCTAACAGTTGAGTTCCTGCTGCTCTGCCTGCAGACATTCTTCCACTCCTCTGACATGTTTTCCCCCCCTGCACAGATTGGGTTCTGGGGGAACGTGGAGTGGGCCCATGACTATGACATGTATGAGCTGAGGGCACGGACCGCAGCTGGAGCTCTTTTTGTTCACCTCGCATCGGAGAGTTCGACTGTCAAGCGCAAACTAATGCAGGACTGAGATGGATGAGCTCAAGCAAAAAAAAACATCAAGTGTGCCCTCAAACCGAGAACACACCAAGCAACTCTGTATCTGTGCTTCTGTTTCTATTGAGACAAACGACACATGCTGTCTGCTCTGTTTGGCAGTGATGTTTATGGAGTCAACATTTTCTGTTTTTATGCAGCGTTAAATAGTGAGTTTCCAGTCATCCGTAACCTGTTGGACCCGCTGCGTGGTTTCAACAGAGCAGTGACTAATGTTGTTGTCTGTTTGGTGGTGGAATGTTAATTCCGCGTCTGCTTTTGCACTGTGCCACATTTGTACGGTGCAAAGGACAAATTCTACACCAACGGCAGACTTTCCATTCTAATTGTGCCGGGTACAGTGTTTGGTCTGCAATACATGAAACGTACTGCGTTCAAATTATTTTCTGTAGTTAATATTGACCTTATCCATGTTGTATTTATTTTGTCATATTCAGTTTGAGTTGTGTATACAGATACCGATTCATTAATATAGTCTCCACTTGCAGTTGTATTTCTTCTCAAAAGATCCAATTGAAAAGTAGACGGACTCTTCATACATCAGTCATTTCAATGTGCAACGTGTAAGGTCTTGTTACTATTACTGTTGAAACTCCACCTTTTGTAAGCAAAATGTCAGTAAAGATTATAGTGAACTAAAGTCCAAACAAAGCCTATCGTTGCGTGTTTGTTGTTTGTCTTTGGAATCCAAAAGGATGACTGCACAGTCCCACAATTACCGTTAAGAGTTTTATTACCGCGACCTTTGGTGTCTTTTATTTACCATCGCCCGACTCTCGTGACGGACGTATCAGCTGTCCAGTCACGCCAAATGTCAGAATTTCTTAGCCAATTACGTTCCTTTGTGGGCGGGACGTTTAGGACGTTTCCTCTTTTTTTTTTTTTTTAATCGTCATCGACCCATGGACCTGTTTGTTGTCGAGTAAGATGGAGTTCCTTCTGGGAAACCCTTACAGCACCCCGGTGGGGCATTGCATCGGTATGTAACCGCATGTTTATCACTCGGCACCGCGTAGAGATGCGTGTGGGTCCATGTTCGATGGTCATTTACGTGCTGGCGTTAGCATGCTAACGAGCCCCAACGAGTTCTCTACAGCCGGACCGTTAGCCGCCTAGCTAAGTGCTAGCTGCGCTAGGCGGACTGCTAGCGCTACATTTAGCAAACTAAAGCTCTGACATCTGTCATTGTCAAGTTGAGGTGGGACATAAAACAGTCATTTGTGTGTGATTGTAATTGTAATATCTGAGAGGGTGATTGGTAGAAGCCACCGCTAACAGCTCAGTAGCCGCCCGGCTTCGTCTTAATGATTGTCGGCTCACTTTAACTAAGAAGGCGTCTCTTTGGGGCTTTTTCCCCCTTTAACCGAATGTCGTGTGTTTCCAGAGAGAGCCACCGATGGCTCTCTGCAAAATGAAGACTGGACTCTTAACATGGAAATCTGTGATCTAATCAATGAGACCGAGGATGGGTGAGTTCAGATGGAAGCATGCAATGAATGTCCATATCTGTTATTGATTAACCCTCTTGTATGGGCTGCATTATTGATGCCTTCCATTTGCATAGTGCGTTGCTGGAGAAGGACACATTATCAGAAGGGATCCGTTTCCTCTTTTCTCCATCTGTGTCATACTAGGAGAAGATGCTTTGGCTGTATGCAAGGCCTCATTGCTTATCTCCTTCCTCCTGTAACCCCGTCCTGTGTGTTTAAAGTGTGTGGTGTGCACGTCTTGTTTGATCAGCAGGTTGTAAACTGAATCAGCATTGGCGTTCCGTCTGGGGAATGTAAAGGGTGTTACTGCTGTGAGGATTATTTGGTCTGTTAGTTGAGTTGAGAGTGTAAAAGTTAATCATTAGTGCCTCAGGTAAAGTTTAACAGCCACTGTGTTCATGCACATTGGCATGTACCTGTACCTGGAATCAGGTTTTTGCAGTTGTGTTCATCATTCATTCATTCAGAATGCAGCATAAAGAACGCCGTCAACTGGGTAAATGTGTTTGTTCTGCATGGAATTACTTTATCAATCCATTTAAAAGCTCTGGACTTACTGGACTATGTTATCCTTCATGTTTAATTCAGACTTGTTACGTGTGTGTCGATGTGTGTGCGCAGGCCAAAGGATGCGATTAGAGCCGTGAAGAAGAGGCTGAATGGCAACAGGAACTACAGAGAAGTGATGTTGACTTTAACGGTGAGTATTAAAATGCTACAGTATTAAAAAGCGTTATTTATAAAGTCTCCTTTACCAATCAGACAGTGGAGTCATATGTGATATTAAGTGCTATATTGTTTTTTTTTTTAGTTTATTGTATTATGTACAATCTGCTTTCACCAATCATTTAAACTTTCTGTGTTAGAAAAGCTAGAGCTTGAAATGCCTATAAACGGATTTGATTCACAGTTTAGAGTGACAGCGGTTTCTTCTCTGCATCCGTCAGGTCCTGGAGACGGGTGTGAAAAACTGCGGCCATCGCTTCCACGCTTTGGTCACCAGCAGGGACTTTGTGGATGGCGTGCTCGTGAAAATCATCTCCCCTAAAAACAACCCGCCTACAATAGTTCAAGACAAAGTACTTGCACTTATTCAGGTACGGTTAAAGGCACCGTGGGTGCATGTCAGAGGCCCGGCCACCCCAGACACAACCTCAGGTGAAGCGCAGTGGCTCTAGTTACCTGTCGCAGCTCATCTTACACTGCAGCGCTCTTATTTCTGCCAGTGAAACCACGTCGCTGCGCACACTGTGCTGCGTGCGGGCTGGATGGGCGGATCCGTTGTGTGTTTTTGTCTAGTCATTAGAGGGGTCAGCTGGGGAAACCCGGGTGGGAGAAGGTGTCACACAGTCGTCCCTCTACACAGCGGCAAGTCTTGTTGACTCATGGAGATGATGAGCACAACAACTAGTCGTTGTGCACCCGATGTTACAAGTGAGCATTGGGTGCACAACGAGTAGTCATGACAACAATAAAGCAATTCTTGGTTGCTAACTAACAAATATGTTTCCATGCCCTCTCTTCCTCTCACTCTTTCCTTACCCTCCCCCCACCAGGCGTGGGCTGATGCCTTCAGGAGCAGTCCAGACCTTACAGGTGTGGTCCAAGTTTATGAAGAGCTAAAGAGGAAAGGGATTGAGTTCCCCATGTCGGACCTAGAGACCCTGTCGCCTATACACACGCCCCAGCGGGTAGGAGGGAGTAATCAATGTCCTCGTCACTTTCTGACAATATTACTTTTCTTATTATTCCTCCTTCTACGCAGCCTAACTTTACTTTTCAAATGGAACTAGAAGAAAGTTCTCATGTAATTTGTCTGTCTTCCACGGCTGCTTCTAGTTGGCTTCTGCTCCGGAGGGCGACTCCACCCTGCATAAGTTCAGCGGCTCTCCTCAGCCCCCACCACAGGTGGTCCCACCTGCCTACATCGCCCCTCAGGTTCCCGTCGTCCCGGCCTCTGGATCCATCAATCCCACATCTGAGCAGGTAGCGTCCATTATTAAATTGTCTCCTGTCATTTGCAATTCTTTATGGCTGTTTATTGTCCTTCTTTGCACACTTTTAAGTCCAATAACATTTGAGACCAGTTGAGTTATTCGTTAAACTTTCCATGTTCCTTCGGTCAGGATTCTCTCCCCCTAAGTGATGTCGTTAAATTCAAGCGGGATAATTCTCAATAATATAAAAACTGTACACAAATTCACTCTAACGCACAGATCTGCCGGCTGCGCAGCGAACTGGACGTCGTCCGTGGAAACACTAAGGTGATGTCAGAGATGTTGACTGAGATGGTCCCAGGACAGGAGGACGCTTCCGACTATGAGCTGCTGCAGGCAAGTCATTGCGTGTGTGTGTGTGTGTGTGTGTGTGTGTGTGTGTGTGTGTGTGTGTGTGTGTGTGCGCGTTTGTTGAAATTGAAATACAAAACGTGTTTGTGTGCAGGAGCTGCACAGGACTTGTAGATCCATGCAGCAGAGGATAGTGGAGCTCATCTCTTGTGTTTCCAATGAGACGGTGACTGAGGAGCTGCTGCACGTCAACGATGACCTCAACAACATCTTCCTACGCTACGAAAGGTTGGAACACAACGAGAAACGCACACCCGCAGCGTGTCTTCCCACCAGCAGCATTTTGTGTTGGCACAGAGGTGGCGAGGTGAACTGAGAGATGTTCCTTCATGTTGTCCGTCAGGTATGAGAGGTTCAGGTCTGGGAGGTCCTCTGCTCAGACCGTCAACAATGGGGTGAGTCGCTTCACCTGTCTGCAGCTTCTGAGCCGGTTGGTCCACGTCATGATTTGTCACACTCCGATGCCGGCGCCTCCAAGCTACCTGTCAGTGATTGACTACATTTACATACCAAACGACAACCCAGAGGAGATGCGCACGCAGTTGCTTCCATTAAACGCTAATCATCTTGACTATTGCGTCGACTTGCACGCAAGTCCCGTCCAGCAGGGGGGACGTTGATCGAGGCGACGGCGCATTCTGCTGCTGCGATGGGCTGATTGTATTTAGACATCCACCAATGCCGCGGTTCCAAAAAGGAGCTTCGGGACTCTGAACGGCTGCTGTCGGCATCGGATAGATTTCCTGCCTTTATTTCGCTTTTTATATGCCTGTTTTTGTCCTTTCTTTTAGCTTCTGACATGCTTTGTCATGCTCACCTCTGTACTGACGTATATTACTGCCTCGCAATGCTCCCTCATCTCCCTGTGCTGATCGCATGCCCCCAGACGTCTCCGGCTTTTATTACGTTTCTGCTGTTTCATCTCATCTCTGCACCCGTTCATACTTCTTAGTTTTACAACAAACTCAACGTGGACCAAAAACATGGCGGGAATCCCGATGAGAAGCATGGGGCAAGGATGCTTAACCCCCCCGTTGGGTTTGCAGTTAATCAGGCAGGCTTTGTCTTCCATGGATATCCTGCCATTACAGTGTGTTCCTGCACTGGCATGTTACAGCTATTCACTGTGTCTTCCCTTTCTGTCCTTTCTGTCCTTCTGTTTCTGTGGCTAGCTGACACAGGCAAGTATGAAAATATTGTCACGCTCCCTAAATGAGCAGCCTCACTCCCCCAGCGCCTCTCCAAACATGGCTTAGTGGTGTGCCCCCCCCCCCCACCCCATACGGCATGTGTTGACTGGTGAACAGCCGGACTGATGGTGACGGAAGCTTTAAGATGGCAGCAGCTGAATCAATGTCCCCTCGCGTTTGCTGCTTCTTAAACTGTCGGGGTTTGGGATTTCTAAAATGGTTTTAATTACTTTCCTGCTTCCTACCTTCTTAAGGGGACGCTTCTGTCCGTATTGATAACCAGCACTTTTATTCTTATTGTAAATGTTTTAATCAAAAGCAATGTTTATGCACCCCCCCCCCCCCCTTAAGAAACAGGGTTTTTAAGACGCTCTCTTAAATTCCCGCTGTCCTCCCTTACGGTCATTTTCATGCTCTCCTGAAGCAAACCCACGTGTTTGTCACCGTGAACCTCCTCTTCTAGACTCATTCAAGAACGACGCTATAAACTTTCCCTTCGCCAGGTGTTGAGTGAGGCCACCGAGGACAACCTCATCGACCTCGGCCCAGGCTCCCCAGCAGTGGTCAGCAACATGCAGAACGCCCCCCCAGCCAGCCTGCCCCCCGCCGCCGCCGCCGCCCACGCAGCAAGGCCCTCCTCCCCGGCCACCTTGGCCTCCCGCCTGGCCGGCCTCGGTATGTGTACCCGACTTCTCTCACCGAATAAAATCCAACTTATGGAATCTAATATGTTAGCAGGCTAGTTAGCGACGCCTCAAGTGTTTCTGAGGCGAAACGACTTCTTTAGAGGACACTCGCTTACGTTACTGGATTAAAGGAAGTTTAACCCTTTGGGATTTCGTCGTCTTAATGGGAATTTGATGGATAGCTTAGCATTAAAACGCTCTAGTGCCATATCTAATGCAGATATCAGATATGTGTTGTTCTTCCTGTCTAACTACCAAGAAAGAGACAAAGTCATTTCCTATAAAGCTCTTCCTTTTAACCTCTGACCCACACGTTAAGGTGTCATGTGGCACCAGTGGTTGCTGCAGCGTTTCTTCCTCAGTGAATGAGCACGTCGTGTTGCACGCTGCACATTACCCGTGTTTTCCCCCCCCCCTGCAGACGTCGGCGCCGACAGCGTCAGCAGCACCTTGAGCTTTCTGTCCAGCTGTAAGTCCCCCGCCGGCCAGGACGACTTCGACGTCTTCGCTCAGACGAGGACCGGCGCTCTGCCTGAGACGCACAAGACGTAAGGACGGAGTGTTTCAGAGGCTCCTTGTTAATGTTCCCGTAGATCCGTTGAATGTCCGTCAGCCGATTGTTTCAGCTCCATTCATGTGCCTCTCGTCTCAGCGCCGCAGCCGCAGGAGAAGAAGAAGAGGGCAACGCCTGCGAGGGCCGCCCCCCCCACCCTGGATGTGCATCAGCCCGCAGCAGAAGCGGTGAGTCTCAGCGGCACGTTGTGATTCTTCACCACGCTAGAAACACGTGTGTGCGCTAGACCCAAATATCTAAAGTATTTAAGTTCCAGCTCCTTCATGTATATCTATATAAAACTTTAGCGTGTATTATGTGTATATGAATAAAGAATCCTAGCTGCTTCCCGTTAGGCGTCACTCAGCGGCCCGTTTTTCCTCTTAACTCGACCGTGTCACATGACCGGGGTGAATGGCGGCTAAATGTTGTTCTCTGTTTGGTCGATGTTGTATGTTGACATGTTACACATGTTGTGTGTAACATGTCAACATGGGGACTGCTGGAGAAGGAAAAGGCCGAATTGGTGTTTTCTGAGAGACCTGCTCCATTCATGAAGTGTGTGTGTGAGTCACATTGATCACGTGATCATCACTGTGTGTGTGTGTGATGCTCCACACACATTGTTCTCCATTCCGTGTCTTTATTTGCCGTCACCAATGACTTTAAGTTGCATTTGAGTTAACGCTGAACTTCCTTTTAAGTCTTATTTTCTGTTGTTTGTTTGGGGCGTTTTTTTTTTCTTCTTTTTCTTTTGTGGCGTGCGTCTCGACGGCGTCTCGTAGGCCGCCGGAGGCCGGGCCGCTGTCATGGATGACATAGAGGAGTGGCTCTGTACTGATGTGGTGAGCCGTCATGATTTTTTTTTGCTGCCTGCAGTTCTCTCTCACTTCTCTTCACTGCGTTATGCAAACGTTTCCGTAACATTTCTTTTCCTCCCTTCGTTGATCTAACGTTACTAACGCTGTGCTGTGAAGCTATAGTCAAACATCTGGCCTGTGAATGGTGGAATCAACCTGACTTGTAGCTGTGCCAAAGATCATATCGCACCCAAAATGTGTTATTAACTTATTTTAATGTTGACATTTTTTTTGTAAATAATAATAATAATAATACATACATACAATAATAATAATAAGAGTTCATGCTCATTTCCTGCAGATGTTCCACAGAATATCCAGGTGTTCTGGTTGGGAAACAACTGGTGAATTTCTTTTGGTCCTTTAAAAAAAAAAAATGGGCATCAATAGAATTATTTTTTTAATTATTCATTTTAAATCAGATTTGCGCAATGTTGGGCGTAGGCCAAGGTAAGCGGCTCCGTGTGTGTGTGTGTGTGTGTGTGTGTGTGTGTGTGTGTTTGCGGTGCAGTGGATTCGTTTTGGCAGTTTGTGACGTTGTTGTTGTCCCTGTTTTTCATCAGCAAGGGGACGAAGTTGAAGAAGGCGTGACGAGTGAAGGTGGGTCGTAAATCTGTTGACGTCCCGCTCGCCGTCCGCAGCGTCGCTCAAATTCACGTTGTCCTTCTCTGCTCCCAACGATCCGCTTCCAGAGTTCGACAAGTTCCTGGAGGAGAGGGCCAAAGCGGTGGAGAAGGTCCCCAGCTTGCCGTCGCCCCCCAGCGGCGAGCCGGGGGCAGCACAGGGAACCCCCAACCGCAAGAAGCCAGACAGGCCGGAGGACGCCCTGTTTGCCATGTCGAATTAGACCGTTGACCTCTGACCCCCGCCTAAGGCCTAAGACCCGACCAGCCGAGCAGCTTCACCCAATGACACTAAAGCACCGCGACCACCGTTACGATTCAACTCTTCTCCACGACGCTACAGACAAGAAAGGGAAGACCAAATCAAACGTCCTGTTTTAAACCCACCACCAGACCATGGACCCCACCCTCACCCCCCCTCACCCACCCTCACCCACCCTCTCCCCCCTGAATGGAGCCTGGTGGCCACTACGAGGACGTCAGAGCATCACGTTGCTGCTAATTCTCAGACTTTTCTAAAAGGTTCTTGTTGTTGTTGTTATTATGAGTAGGGCATTTCTTACCTGAAGCCCCCCCAGCAGGCATTAAGCCCCCCCCCTCCTCCTCCTCATCATCACGCCTCCACTGCAGAACAGCGCGTTCTCCTACTGGGAAATCAGCTGCTGAGAGTCGGGGGAATTGTAAATGTGTAAATGACAAACGTGGAGTTTATGGCTCGTGTGTATATTTGCGACGCAGCAGCTGATTCATGTCGTCTTTGGGAAGGTTTTTATCTTTCAGCTGCTTCCACCTCACTGGGGTCGTGTTTTTCACAAGAAAAGGGAACCGATTTTCATCCAACACACACACGGCCGTTTTGGAGGAAGACGACGATGAAGGGAAGATGTTTTTTTTGTTTGGCCACATTATCGTTGACAAACAAACACTGTTGGGATTATTTCACATAAACGTGTCTGTACCTGTGCAGGTAGTTAACTCCACGTGTTCTGTATCGTTGGGCTTTCCTCTGTGTTTGGGATCATTTGGTGGAGGGTAGAAACGAAGGAAAAGACTCACTACAGCAGCTGTGTGTGTGTGTGTGTGTGTCTGTTTTTTCTTATGCTGACGTCTTAAGAGGTCCGACCTTTCAGCCTGACATTTGTTTCCTGAAATGAGATTGTTCTGACATTTTGCTCTTTCGACAGTAAACTATGAAACGTGTTGCTCGACCACAGGAAGCTGAAAACGAGCGTCCCGGTTCCACCTGTCCCGCTAACGGCTAACCGCTAACAGCGTGTCGTCAAGGACTCTTCTCCACGTCGGTGGTTTAAATGCCGTCACTGCGGAAGAGAAGGCCGTGTTTTAGTGGCGTGCGGTTTAGTGCTTTTCTTTGTGGACTTCAGGTTTCTTTCTATCCGTCGCTGCTGCCCGCTGTGTTTTGATGTCTGATGCTTGTATCGGTTTGTGGGTTCCGGTCTGCAAGAGAACAAGAGAAGCTCGTTCTCCCACGAACACACGAATCACTCTGAAGGATTTGCACGTGAAGAACCGCAAAGGTGGACTTGGACACCTACAGAGAGCGAGAGGCGCGTTTAACGTTTATCTCTGTTGCTGTGATGCTTTGTACCTGGATCCTCTGCACACCGGGAACAACGCGTGTCTCTGTGCCGCCGGGGGGGGGCCGGGGGGGGCCGTGCTCTCTGGCGGCTTCTTCTTTCCTCCGTCTCCCGTTTCTCTCTGTTGTTTTGCTTCTGCATGAACTCTAATAAAACATCAGCGTGTGTGTGCGTCCTCCTGCTGCCTGGTTATTCCTCACTGCAGGATGGAAGCGCTGATCCGCCGCCCTTCTTCACATGGCAACAGCTGAAGCTGACCCGTGGTAAACCCTCCCCGGGGGCCCTCGGGGGGCCCCCCCCACCACGGGCTTCCCCATTGGTCGCCTGGGATCGCCTCATCCCGAAACACGGCCCCACACATTCAGCCTCGGCCACTGGACGGGGTTCCCGGTCAAAGGGAAGCATAGGGGCAGGGGGGGGTGGGGGGGTGTGGTGTGACAGCTCTTCATCGCTGTCCTCCCCATTGGCTCTTTTCAATTAGAGTTTATAAGTGAAGAGGCTGTGGATTCTTCTCCGGGAGGTAAGAGAAGATGCTTTTGTGCCAAACGCTCCTTTTTACGGCGTAGCAGCTGCAGAGTCTGATGGTAATTTGAGGAATGGTTCCTGAGGCGGTGGGCGAGCCCCCGCGTGCGGCCCGGTGGCGTAGGACAGTGCAGCGTTGCGTGTGCGTATCGTGCGTCGATGTGGTACAGAAAACAACTGTGACACGTTGCTTAAATCGAACATCACATTCACTCGTGGGTCCGTCTGCTGCAGAGGCCCGAGTGGGAGGAGCTGCTGGACTCCAGAACCAGTTCACCAGGGAGCACCAACATGGAGCATCAGCTCTACATCAGCCCCCCCCCCCTGCTGTTTGTGAGGCCCCTCTTCACTAGCAGCTGCATAGCGCCCCCTGCTGGTTTTCATCCTGAAGCATTAATAAAGCTGACGATGAAAATCCGTTTCCTGCACGAAGCAGCATCCAGCGCTGAGGAGCTGTGGTGCATTGTAGTTGCATTGCATGTTGTCTGACGCTGCAATGGATCTCCTCTGCAACACAGAACTCAGTCATACGACTGCAGACGGATCAAGTACATTCACAATATGCACTCTATATTGTACTTGTACTTGTACTTTAGTATATTCTTGTGTTTACGCCACCACATTTATTTGATCATTTTCTGTAATTACTTAATATAATTTTATTATACAATCTTGTGTACATACATTTACCCCATATATATAAAAAGACAAACTATGGATTTTTTTTCATTACATATTTCAACCTACATTTTTTTAACTTCATTTTTCAACAAAAGATACTTTGCATTTTTTGTATATTTTACTCCTTTTTTTTTTTTTTTTTTTTCAAAACACTTCAAAATATTTAGACGTCTTTTTCAAAACCTTTTCTGGCTTAATGTTTTTTTACTTCTTTCCTACATTTTTCAACACAAGATATCTTGATCAAATGTGTTTTACTATTTTTACTTTCTTTTCAAAACAATCATTTATCGAACACATTTCAACTTTTTCTTCTGTACTTGTTTGACTTTTTCCACAACATTTTTCAAAAGCAGATATTTTTACTCTTGAAAATATGATATATATATATATATATCATATTTTCAAGAGAGTAAAAATATTACACATTTAGACTTTTTTTCAGGACAGCTTTTGGCCTATTTTTCTCAACATTTTGACTTTTTTTTTACTTAATATTCTTTTGACTTTCTTTTTACAATTTTCAACCTAATATTTGTTGACTTTTTTTCCCAAACTCTTTTTGACCCAATATTCTTTTCATTTATTTTCCATTCTTTGGAGTACAGCAGGGTGGTTTTGGTCATAAGCTCAGAAGGTTTTCCACCTTATTTTGTTTACCTCTAATGTCATTTTGAAAATTACATATAAACTTTTCAAATGTTTCAAAAATAACATTTTAAATAGTTTGAAATTACCTAAAGGGAAAAGTAGGTTGAATTGTACAACTTTGAGGTAGTTCCCTGCTGGGCAATATTAAAAAACTACTTTGAAAATTAAATGTCGACCAGCTTTTCTTTTTTTCATTACATACATCATAAGAACATCATCACAAAGCACTCGTACGACGAAAATTGGATTTTTGCAATTACGTTTTTTTCCTCAAATACCAGACACACACACACACACACACACACACACACACACACACACACACACACACACACACACACACACACACACACACACACACACAAGGACATATCGTGTGAAATTGTATAAGTGCATTTTATTCTCAAGTTCACTGTGATTTAAAAAAAGACAACAGTGGGTCAAAGGATCTAATCACGACACCTTTTGCACAATAACCTTCCCTCAAACTTTACCACATGTGGAATGTTGTGAAATGAGAACTGACCAATTCAAACAGATGTGTGGCAGATGTGTGAGTCATATTTCAGGTCAAAGATCTTTGTCGATTAAACTCAGTGTTTTCCATTTTCCTCCTGGTTTTCCTGGCAGGGAAATGTAACGTCCCCCAACTGCCATTGATCGACATGTGTTGATTTTCTCACCCACAGACCCCCCAACACACACACACACCTACACACAAACACACACACACACACACACACACACACACACACAGTGAAGCCAGTTTGAAATAATAGCTCGTTCCTGCTTTAAAGTGCACACTGGATGTGCGCCTGCAGGTGTGTGTGTGTGTGTGTGTCAAAGGCCTTCAGGTGTGTGTGTGTGTGTGTGTGTGTGTGTGTGTGTGTGTGTCAAAGGCCTGCAGGTGTCTCTCTGTCTCTCCGTCAGCTCGTCCTCGATCGTTCATCCTCCTTCAACCTCACGGGGAGTAAACGCACCAATATTCATCCTCGTCGCTGTAATCTGACCGCTAAACAAACACTGAGGATCAAATCACCTAATTGTGTTTATGAATCGCTTTTTATTAACGTCGCGCTTCACTGGTTTCCCAATTTCTTGTAGCCGTTCTGCTGCTCGTGTTACCTGGCGGCCGAACGACGGCTGCAGCGACAAACACCGATGCACATAATCATGAACAACATATTAGAGGCCTCGCAGAGGGATGGAGGCCAACGGACGCATTTCTAATAGTTGTTTAATAGACGCCGTTGGTTGGGACAAAGCGCCGGCAGCCACAGTTTCACGCGTTCCCCGACAACGTGAAGTGTGCATTGACTTTTCGGGCCTGACTGGTGCCTTGCTTCCTCTTTAGCTGCCTCAAAAGACCCCCGCGGCCCCGCAGCACTTTATGCTAAGTTAATTTACCCAAATACGTCCGCGGCGGCGGCGGCGGCGGCCCCCGCTATTCAACATCAACAACTTTGTTAATGGAAACTTGCTGATCCATAAACATGTGTGCAGACGTTCGCTGGGGGGCAGTTCACACGGGAATGTTGGAGCTCCAGATCGATGAGGGGAAGATTTGCAGAGCAGGTAAGAGGCGTAATTATAATCGCGTCGGGAGGTCGCCGCGTGTTTGCTGCTGTATTTAAATAGGGTCACATCTCAGCATCACCTTGCAAGTGTTGAGCTATATTAAATGCCACTCATGTTAAGTGCGCTGAAACCCTCGTCTGATGTAGTCAAGACGTAATATAAAGGTTAAATAGAAAAATGTCCCTTCAACACGCTATGATTGATCTCCCCTGTACACGCGTGGAAATGTTGGCCCTCTGTTTCGCGAGGCCTCTCTTAAGTGTGCGTGATGGTACGAGGAGGCCCGACTGGATCAGAACTTAAGTGTCAGTCAATCAGGATTTCAAAAGGTCAATGAAAATCATTTGCAAAATGTTTGGAAAAGGTCAGAAACAAGCGAACGGTTACTGATATTTAAATGAACACGGCTCCGTCAGCACATACGTGCTCGTTCTAAGCGTGTTCTGTGGGTATTGTGTTCACAGTGGAACTTAATACTATTAACCAGACAAACAGGATTCTGTGACTCACAACACCAACAGTCAGTCGGGGATCGAAGAATTCTACAAATCGGAGGGAAAAAACAGGAAACGGTGCCAACGGCTGTCAATCCAATTCAGAGTAAAGACGGCAAAATGCAGAAGTCCTCTTTGTACCTCGCCTGGTTTCTTTTTACTACTTTAACCGCTTATCTGTATATTTTGACAATAACTATGTAGTACACAGAGTACTTTATGGAACCAGGAAGAAAGAGTCAAAGGGTCTTTGCTCAACATTCAGTTCATCTGCACGAGGAGAATCATCTGCACGAGGAGAATCATCTGCACGAGGAGAATCATCTGCACGAGGAGAATCATCTGCATGATTTTGTGAATTGGAAAGCGATCGTGGTTCAACATGTAAGTCAGAAACTTGCAGCGTACTTTCACTAGAAAGATTCTTCTTTTCACCGACTGGTTAATCTGCTTATACAAGTTGTGTTTTTTTTAATGAGTTGGAAGGAATAAATGTCCTTTTACAGTCACATTACATTATTAACACGTATATTTATTGTTTAATTTGTGTCTGGAGGGGATTTTGAGGTCTGTACTGAAATGTGTGATTATTCACTCTGATACATTTATACAAATCATTGTGTCCTTTTACCAAAGAATCGTCTCACTTTGATTCAGAGTATTGTAGCGTTTTAAAGCGTGTTGCACGTGATCGTGGCTCCCGTGAACATACATGAAGAGAACACTGGAACCTACTCTGTCAGCACGCCGCGCTACGTGCAGGTCAATGCGTCTCCGTCTGGGATCCGTCCCGCCGTCTGTCCTCGTCTTCGCTTCTTTGGTCCTCGCGGTGCTTTTGGAGATCGAGTCCCGTCTCTCGTTCCTCTCACAGCGCCCAGAAGTGCAGGTTCAGATGTGGGGGCTCCAGGACGTGCAGGGGGGGCGCCGGGGGCCCCGCGGGGCCGCCGGGGGACCTGAACCCGGCCGGGGGCGGACCCGGGGCGGACAGGATGTAGTCGATGCTGAACTTGATCTCGGACTCCGGCTTTCCATTCGGGGGCGGGTTTGTTGGCCTCGGCCTGTCGCGGTTCAAAGGGCAGACGGGGGAGGAGTCGGGTTCGGGCCCCTGCCGACCGCCGTGGCTCTCCAGCGGGCGGGGGGGCGTTTCCCTGGCATCCCGGAAGCCGATCTTCACGTTCCGGCGGCGGCGGCGGCGCCGGAAGTTCCCGTTCTCAAAAAGGTCGAGCATCGATTCGCAGCCGCTGGCGAAGGTCCAGTAGTTCCCCTTCCCCTTTTCGTTGCCCTCCGTACGAGGAACCTGAGGGGGGGGGGGGCGAGAACACAGCGAACTTAAAACCCCTTCTACTCGACTGGGCGACACGTGGAGGCGTGCGGCGGCGTGCGGCGGCGTCACCTTGACGAAGCAGCTGTTGAGGGACAGGTTGTGGCGGATGGAGTTCTGCCAGGCCCGCTGGTTGCAGCGGTAGTACGGGAACCTCTTCATGATGAACTCGTAGATGCCGGACAGAGTGACGCGCTGCTCGGGGCCCTGCTGGATCGCCATGGCGATCAGCGCTATGTAGCTGACACACGGGCACGTTAGCGACTCGGTGGATGAAACCAGCGTGTTCAGCGTAATACGATCATCTAATAACAGAAACCTGATGCAGGTTGTGAATCACCGTCACATCATTTTACGACAGACGCGTGTCGCCGAGCAAAAGTCACACCTCATTTTGGTAAAAGGTTCCACACTTATTATTTTTAATATTAAATTCTTAATTCTGATAAGATAAAACAATGTTAAAAAAACTAAAGAGAATATTATGATTAACTCAATGAGGCTAGAATGGAAGCTTTTAATTAATTAACAAGTCAAACTGAATTTAAACAGATCTGATAGAAAAGATAAACTATATAAAAATATATTTTCATTTAAAACTCGACCAGTGGTCCAGAAATAAAAAATAATAACATCTGGAACTAAACTAAGTGGATATTAAGAGAATGATAAAACACTGTTGATTATGTTTATGTGTATGTTATGTTTAGTTTATTTATTTGTATCAGTAATATGTGACAGGCTGACATTTTGTTCACAGACTGAAAGCGAGCTGCACAAGATATATTGTTTGGTTTTGTTCGGTCAGCCTCAGAATATATTTTTTTTTAAATTGAAAAGAAAAAAAATAACAATAAATTAAAAAAATCAGAAAATAAAATCAGAAAAATGTCTAAATGTCTAAAAAAATGTAAAATCCAACAAATGTCTGAGACTTGCTGGTAGACAAAAGAATGTCACACTTTTTAAGGTGACATTAAATGACAATAAATGACCATAAAGCGCTCCGTACCTGTACGCCGGTCTGCACATCTTCTTCTCCTCGTCCGTGCTGGACGACGGGTATCCGTCTCCGTCGTAGTTGAAGCAGTTGAACGGGTAGTTTGAGTTGTCGAACATTTCTGCACCGTGAGGAGCCGGACGGGGGGGCCCACCTGCACGTCTCATCGGACCCTCCTGCTCCGCTCAGCCAGCCGCCGCTCTGAGCCCCACTGATGACGGCTGCCTCCATCCACACGAGCCCCCCGAGCCCCCCTCTGCTGCCTCCACCCACACAACCCCCCCGACCCCCTGTTTGCTGCCTCCTCCCTCCACGTCGTCCCAGCTGCTCTCAGCCCCGCCCCCCCCCCCCCCTGTTGTTTTTTTTTCAAATTATAAATTAGAGATTTCTCGTTTTTTCATCAGCAGCACTGCTCACGTTTTAAGAGTCAAAGGAATCAACATTCATATTTGAAACTCAAACTTATATGAGACGACTATTTAATGTAAATGCTTTATTCTTCATTTGGTTTGTTTCCAATTGTTACAATCTTTCTTCCAGCTGTTTAGAAACGTTTAGTCCGAGTAGACGGACGTAAAAACGACCAACAGGAAATGCAGAGCCAGCGGTCAGCGCATCAAAATGACCCGCGGCTACGTGCTGCGGCTAACAGGCTGAGCACAATACGTTCATATTTGCAGCCCTCCGCCCCCTCCGCCCCCCCCGCGGCGGACGGGAACATGTGCATGAATGGAAGCTGTCTTTGGTCGGTTTCCAGATCTCGATCCGAATCGGACAAACTGCATAAGAGAAAGTCAAAGACGCGGTGAGAAGAGGAGCGAGCTGCTGCTCAAAGGTCAGGTAGGCTTCAAATGCGGCCTCAAGTGATCACCGACGTCATGTGACACACCGTGTCATGTGATCTTCACATGTGCAAGCGGTCGACTCTGCAAAAAGAGTCCAACATGTGGAATTATTAGTTTCCTTTAACTTTGACTCCGGGTCGTCTTAGAGTAGCAGCGGGGTTATCAATGCCCCCCCCCCCCCCCCCCCCCTCCTGCCCCCTCCTGCCCCCTCCTGCCCCCCCCTGCAGGATTCTGGGTGGTCCGCCTTCATGTTTTATTTTGCCTCTTTCTCTCTGCCTGTACTTACAACAGATAACCCCAAACCAACAAACAACACTTTGTCTTCTTTCTCTGTTAACTTTTTAGTGTGTGCGTGTGCGTGTGTGCGTGTGTGCGTGTGTGCGTGTGTGTGTGTGCGTGTGTGCGTGTGTGCGTGTGTGCGTGTGTGTGTCCACTGTGGCAGACGTTTAGTCAACAACGGGAAGTTTTGCAGATGTAATCTATAATGCTCTGTAATGGCCATAAATTGTTTCCGTGGCGATAAGGCGGGGGATGTGCACTCGGAGGGGATCTGAAGGGGGCAATCGGAGGCCCCCCGAGAGGCGACAAACAGCCCCGGGGCGACTGGGCCTCCGTGTGTGGCACCGGCGGGGTGGGAGGAGCCGGTGGGCGCCGTACCGGGCCGACGCTGTGGAGCTGGTTAAAGCAGCAGAGGGGAGCTGGTAAAATAAACCACTTCCTTTCTCACCTGGACAGTAAGAACACACACGTGAGGATGCTGTTCAGTCTAATAAATGAAGATATGAAGCCTTTGAATCAACCCCTGCAGGCCACAGAGGGGGAGGGGTCCTCGGGGGGGGGGGGGGGTCCTCAGGGGGGGTCCTCTGGTCCGCTTAGTGACACTAAAGAGTCCCTCACATGTTCAAACCCCCAGTGGCGTCGTGAGGCCTTCTGGCTACAATGACTCTTTAAGCGGTTTAATCCAATATGTAATATCAGTAATGTATATATGACAGTAAGATTCACTCAGGTGTCCTTCTCACCTTTTCTAGTTTTAATATTTCACACTTTAATTCTGAAAGAAAGAATACATATAGCTGACGTGACAAAAATATGTTTTAATTACAAAAAAAAATATTTTTATAAAATTCAATGTATTTGTTTGATTAAACTATCCAACAATTTTCTGATATTTATGATATTTATAACATGTATAACGGCTGTAGAAATAAATACTAAAATAGTATTTTAACCTTCGTTCGGCTGATAAAACGCTCTGTTTTTCCCTCCGTGTGATTATTTACAACGTTCTACATCAGGAGGTTCATATCTGAACAGCAACACGACTGACTTCATTGACCAAGACGTGACCAATGAGCCTTTTCGCTGCAGACGGGGGCAGAAGCAGTAGATGAAGGACCGGGTGGGGGGGGGGGGGGCTCGCCGTGTCAGCTCGCTCTGAACTGAGATCAGATCAGCGCCGCGGGGCTCGCTCCCATGACGAGGCCTCCGCTGGCGTCCTGTCTGCTGATTACGGCCCTCGGTTCTCCTCTGGTCACTGCGGGTCCCTCTGATGGTTGTCTGGGACTTCCTCCATTCACAGCTGTGTGCGTGTGCGTGTGCGTGTGTGTGCGTGTGCATTCATGTAAACCAGCCAAGGAGCTTCACCCGGCCGGTTCTGAGAGGAAAGGTCATGAACACGCCTGCACAGCGCGGCTAACAACGTCTCCTGCAAACCAACACACTGCACACAAACCTGCCGTCCTTCTGAGGAGCTTGATAAGCGTCTCACGTGGAAGTATTTCATATTAATATTATTAAACAGACGCTACTGGTTCTCTTGTTGAAGCCGTGTGAAACGTGAAGGTTCTGCTCAACACGTTAAGAGGAAGAAGAGGGATGAAAAGTCCTCAAGAGACAAAATGCTGTAACTATAAGGTGAAAAGATTCATATTTAAATGACTCCTGATAAAAACAAAGCACTTGAAACATTCTGCTTATTTTGTTTTATTGCACTTTTACCATGATGCAAAGAAATGGAGAGAAATCCACAGAAACCATCAGTTGAATAAAAAAATCAAAAAAAAGAACAAAGTTTTCACTAAGAAGACACCATGAAGGTTCACTGGTCCGTACGTCCGCGCACACCGAAGTGTGACTGTTTAATAAGGGTTTGGGTTCCTCGTGGAACCACACACACACACACACACACACACACACACACACACACACGGATCTCACCTGCAGCTCGTAGGTCAAAGCGTTCGGCTGTGAAACCAGACATTCAAGTGTTTCTATCATTGCACAGGCACTAATGTTCCTACCGAGTATAATAACCAAACCCACAGTTACATCTGCTGTTGGTAACGAATGAAATTTACATCCTGAAGAAAAATAATCTCTCCACAACAGCAACATTTGGACATCAAATATATTACAAAGAAACAATAATTTAATTTAGAGTTTGGCTTTTGGTGACGTATCGAACCTCATATCCGTCGCACTGAAAGGAGGAAGATTGAATGTTGTAAACGCGTTGGAACTTAAAGCGGCTCCATCCTTGGAATGCACACAAACGTGGAGGCAGGAGTCGACTGCGGCGGCGTGCTCACATCGCCCCCTGCTGGGCGAAACGAGGAGGCGCAGCGCTGCGACACAGGAACCCGTCAGTGTTCATCCAAACAATAAATATGAGCTCTAATAAATACTCTCTCAGGTACAAGGAACATTTATGGGACGAATTGAAAGAGAAACTGGGAGTAAACCTGCACTCCGATCACTTATCCCCCGAAGATAAAGGCTGAATTAACTCAAATAAAAAAAAAACAGGGTCGATGAAACGATAATTAAGACAACAGGAAGTCCACCTCTCCTTCCTCCTTCGCCGTGAATGTCCAACTCAAACACTTGCAGTACCAACAATACGTATAAACACATCAGCTTGTGGGGGGGGGGGGGGGGGTAACACGTCTCTCAGAATTCACTGAATTCAAAAGGGTCCTGAAGGCGACAGAGAGGAAGCGTCTCCTGGCGACTCTCGCGGTTTTGGTGGAGCTGCGCCGTCCTGCATTAAGAGTCCCGGTCGGATCATTTAAGGATTCCAGGGTGATGGGAGGGGGGGGGGGGGGGGGGGGGGGGGGTGGTTCAGTGTAGTTCGTGACCCGGGTCCCAGATCCGTCCAGGTAGGTAAAGGCCCAGTCCGACCCAGCAGGGCTTCCTCCGGACACCAGACGCCACCGAGTGGATCCTCCGAGGAGTCCGGAGATCACCAGGAGGCCGCTTTCACAACGGGGTCTCCTTCCTCCTGGGGGGAGGGGTGGGGGGGTCAGTCCTACCTCCGCCGCGGGGCGCTGTGGCCGCGGTCCGCCCCGTGGCGCCCCTGGAGGTCGTCCTCCACCACGTAACTGTGGCCCTCCTTCTCAATGCATTCTGACAGCGTGTTGAGCACCTGGAGGCGGAAGAGAAAAGAGAACGCGCTTAGAGCGGAAACTAGAGGTCAAGCGAGGTCAAAAGCGTGAGGTGCGTTTTGGCGGGATAGCGGCACTGACCAGGCGCAGCCGGCGGTCCATGGCGTCCAGGTGAGGCTGGATGAGGACGGGAGTAAGGCGGTCCCTCGCCATGGATTCGGCCACCAGCACGGACAGCTTGTATTCCTCCTTAGCCAGCAGCTGCAGGCGCAAGTGGGTCGACTTCCGCACTCTGTGGAGAGGCAGCCGGGTGGCGGGGTGGGGGGGGGGGGGTCAGACGGGGTCAGACGGGTATCGCGCACACAGTCACACTCACACTGTGAAAATCCTGCTTTCTTTTGGCCCTGAAGGCCTCACCTGCAGCACTGGCTCAACGGCACCAGGATGGAGATCTCGTCGTGGGAGTGCTTCCCGAAGCTGCCGGGGGGAGAAAGGTTCGTTTATTCCGTGTGCAGCAGCTTGACGCGGTTACGCTTCATTCATTCATTCATTCATCCGTGCAGATAAACCCGCGTGACGTGTCTCACCCTCTGCCGTTGTCCAGGTGGATGATGACCGTCTCGTTTCCAAACTTCTCGAATGTCTCGTAATGGTGGCGGTCCATGTTCCCTGCGTTGGGACACAAGCAGCCAGCGGTGAACCGTGGGTGGGGGGGGGTTAGAAGGCTCGGACCCCCCCCCCCCCCCCGGGACGGAGGAACTCACCCCTGAGGAAGTTCAAGATGGTCATGTCGATGACGTTCAGCAGCCGCGTCCCGCTGTCATACGGCGGAGTCTGTTTGACCTCCTCGCAGTAGTCCGGGTCCACCTCCCACCTGTGAGGGTCCACACCGACGTCTCGGTCACACGGGCGGGGAACAAAACTCCCAAATCCAAATGATTTTGCAAACGCTTTGCTGTGTGAGTGAACCTGAACGCGACCGGCGGCCGGCGTCTTACTCGGCCTTCTTGCGCTTGTGGTAGGAGCGTCTCCACGGGTTCCTCCAGGTCTTGCGCTTGGCGAGGGCCAGGTCGGGCAGGAAGGCGGCCAGCGACCCTTCCAGCTGGTCGGGTTTCCCGCACAGGGCGTGCTCGGTGGAGCAGTAGTACGAACACTCGCCGTAGAAGCACACGTTGTTGGCTGAGGTTTGGAAGAAGATCACACGTCAAGCTGCACATCAAAGCAACTTTGCTCTGCGTTATGAAGAAGGTTCTTTTCTGCATGATGAGTACATGTCGGAGATGTCAGAGATCCAACAGCGACCTAAAGTACCACTGAGCTGAAACCTGTGCATTCATTCTAATCTTCCAAAGGTTTTCCCCTCCCAGACGACCAGTGACGGCCCTTTTCAGTGCTCACCTGGTGAAATAAAGAAGGTCCTCCAGAGCTTCTTGTCCTGTGTGACGTCTCGTATCTCCTTGGTCATGTTGACGAGCCTGCCGGCCACGGGGGGCACGCGGCGGAAGTCCAGGACCCTGCAGGACGGAGACACGCGATGATAAGCCATGACTGGATATCGATGTCTCAGGTGTCCTAATAAATGACCATGAATTCAGATTCAAATTCATTCCTCCATAACTAATTATTCCATTTGAAAATAGGAACTAATCTAGTGATGGTTGTTCATGTTACAAAGTGGAACAAATAACACAAATAGAACTGGAGAGAGTTTTACATGATTAGAAGCAGAGGAGCAACGAGGACGAGCTCACATCCCCAGAGGCGGGACTTGAACCCACAACCTCTGGCTCACAAGGCGACAATCGTACCCACGAAGCGCCTGTGGCCTGATTACATTCCAGCAGGGGGCGCTGCCACACAGGTCCTGGCCCCCCCTGACGGTAAAATCGTTCCACAACAGACACATTATCCGCTCCAGTGTGTTTGCAAATGAGACCACGTGACCGCGTGTCTGCGTGGCGCATGCGTGGCGTGTGCCGTCGACACAGCGGCACGCACTCTTTAACCGGCCGGACGACGCCTAATGTGCCGTGGCCCGAGGGGGAGCGAGGCCCGGATCGAAGATGGAGGAAGCAGGGACGTCACGGTGGCGAGGTCGCGTTTCTCTCTCCGCCTGACGCGGGACGGAGCGCCGCAGAGCGCCGCGTGGCGTCCGCTGGGCCCGCCGCCGTGCTTCCACGCACTTCGCCGCGCTCCTTCTCGCTCCTCGTGTGTCTGTTTATATCCGTTCGGCCTCTTTTCTCCACCTAATGCAGCAAAACCAAGTGCTCCTCCCATTCAAATGCAATCACATCATTAATGGTGCTTAAAGCAGTGCAGCACATGAGAACAGACTGCGTGTGTGTGTGTGTGTGTGTGTGTGTGTGTGTGCGTGTGTTTGCCCACGTGGTGCAACGCTGCTTTTAAAAGAGCCTGTGTGTGCCGGCCGGCCCCCTGGGAGGCAGTGTAGCCTCAGCCTCTGCACCACCAGCACCACCAGCTCCTCCAGCTGCAGCAGCAGCAGCTCTGTAGCAAGGCTCTAATTTAGAACAGACAAAATAAGGGAAAAAAAGAAGGCGCCGCTTTTGGCAAAACCCCCGACCGGCTTATATTTAGAACGGGCACCGGGCCGTTCGTGCCTTTGGTTTCCTGCTCTTCCCCTTCACCCACACATACGTGTGTGGACGTAATGTCATGCATGTGCACGTGTGGAAGAGGACCAGATGTGTTGAAGACTTGCTGATGCAATTGCTGCTGAGCTGTGCCTGAAGGAAAGGCAGACTGTGCATGCGTGTGCGTGTGCATGTGTGTGCGTGTGCGTGTGAATCCTCTTGTATCACCAGCATTCCCTCCACAACACGAGCGCTCTGCCTGTAATGACGCCCTTAAACCTGAGCGAGCCGGTGAGCTCGTCATTGGTTAGTCGGGGTGGGGGGGCGTATGGAGCCTTGTTAGCAGGGAGGCTGCAGTCATTGTTGAGTCAGATGCGAGCTGTGTGGGGGGGGGGGGGGGGGGGGGGGGCGGCATTCGCCGGCCATGACTCACGCTCCGTCTCTGAAGGACGTGAGCGGTGAAGAGGAAAAGCCGATGAACTGAACGGGCGCAGAGAAGCTTGGCGACGTTCACGCGCGCAAACATCTCGAAGCTCCAGTGTTTAACAGAAGGTCCCGGCTCGGCGTCCTGCAGGTTCTGGTGCCTCCCGGGGGGGGGGGGGTGGGGGGGGGGTTAATGAGCCGGCACCACGAGAATCAGCAATCAGGGAGGAACGTTAACCTGCAGGACGGTGGCCCTGGAACCGAGCACTTAAGAGCACATTGTACAACGTTGTTTTCTTTACTTATTTAGGCAAAAATGTCTGTAACCACCCCCCCCCCTCCCCCTCATACACGTAGGGTCTACTCACTTGTCCAGGTGAAATGCGGCGATCTCGGCGTTGTGTCTTTCAAAGTCAGAGAAGTAGAAGAAGTCTGGAGGGGTCTCCTGCTCCCGGGTTTGCCTGCAGAGGCACCAACGGGGGGGGGGGGGGGGGGCGTAGAGGTTTAACCTTCTTGTGACGTGAGCTTCTGACAGTCACAATGCAAACTTCTAATAAACCTACTTACTTTCATAAAGCTTCCTACTTTTGATTGACAAATGAGTTAAAATCGCACATTGTCTCGTCTCCTGGCTGCATGTAGCAGCAGCGAGACAGCAGACTTCCCACATGTCCTCCTCGTGTCCCTGCAGAGGACCAATGTGAGCAACGGCCGAGACACAATGAACACTCGTCCTTGCAGCGGTGGGCGAGACGACTACAAGAGGGGAACAATCGAAGGTCAGAGACTCCCCGCAGCACCAACTCCTCCTCTGCATGTGGACCTATTTCTGCCCGGCTCTGATCCTCCCCCCCAAAAAACTGCTTTCCACACACATTCTGCCTTAAATCTGCTACTGGAGGGAAAAGAGGCTTTTAGAGGCTTAAAAACCCCGGCGCTGCTGGAGGACGGCCAGGACGGGGCAGGACGGACAGGGAGGCAAAGTCAAAGCCAATAGGAGGTGAGAAGAGCCTCTGAGAAGGTTTGAGGTGGAGGAAATGTATTTGAGGAACAGCAGCGCGCCGCCGAGCGGCTCTTTTTGGAGCGATTTCTCCTTTTCTCCCGTTTGCTTCTCTTTTTTTTTCATTGACAGCAGTAAATACTTTCCAGGAAGGCAGCTGAGCGCAGTGATTTGGACTCCAGCCGCTGCCATCGACCGCTGCAGCTAGTTGAGGGAGGATGAGAAGAATGGAAACTATCTTGGCAGCTCGCTCTCCTCCTCTCTGCGTTCCCTCCCGGATGCCTCTGTGTTTATTCTGCTGAGAATCCTCCACCACGTCTCCTCTGCGTCTCCGCTTCCCCCTCCAGCGCAGTCGTACTGGCCGCTTTCTTCTCGACCATCTGTATCTGTGTGTCTCTCCTTCTCCCAGCTTCCTCCCCTCTGTCTCATCCGTCTCCATCCATCCGACACGCGTCCACATGCAGAGCCCCGTCCCCTCCTCGCGTCCCTTGTCTCCTCCTGGGGGGGGGGGGGACGCAGCCGTCGCCTCCACGTCGAGGAGGATCGATCCCGACGAGCGTCTCTTCACACCGAAGGACAAAGTGTCCCAGCGGCGTCCCTGCTGGGACTCGGGTCCATCACAGCATGTTGGAACATAAAACGGCAGGAGAAACGCTGCCTGCAGGCCGCCTCCTTCTTGCTGGACGTGGCAGATTTTGTTGGTTAAGTTCTGGCGTTGACTCATTTTCAGCGTCACACACTCGTCACATCTGAGAGGCGACCGCAGAGCGTCGTCATGGAGACCTGCCGGGGAATAAGCATGAGCAAATCTCCTCCCACACGGAAATCTTTACACGGGTAGAGGACCATCCTCTTTTCATTGGGGGGGGGGGGGGGGGGCACTGAACGGGCAGCCAGGAAGCAGGAAGGCTGGATAATTATCCTGATCCACATCCAATTCGAGACGTCGATGGAGTTATTTATAGCATGACCCCCCCCCCCAACCCCCCCCCGCTGACCAGAGAAGGAGGAAGATAAAGTGTGGCCACGGCAGAGACGATAACCAGAGACAGGATGTCTGTTACACAACATTGTTTGTGAATCCTGTGACAGCCGAGCGTGTTGTGATGAAGTGAACCATCAGAACCATCAGAACCATTAGAACCACTAGAACCATTAGAACAACTAGAACCACTAGAACCGTTAGAACCAACGTACGGCATAAATGCACGACTGCACCTATAAATGAATACACGGTGCACTGAGCTCCTCCTCAGACTGCTCGGTGGAGCTGAACCTTTAAAATATTTTACAAAAACCATCAGCTATGCTGAGTGAGAAGTTGGTATTTTCCACCAGAAGAAGAAGAAGAAGAATAAGAAGAAGTCCACGCCGGCAGCAGGTGAGACATGCCGAGCCGAGCCGAGCCGAGCCGAGCACGCCCGGTTAGACACGGCTGCAAACACGTAGTTTACACTGGGGGGCCAGAGAGTTTGTTGGCTCCGTGCCCCCCCGAGGGGCCCCTGCAGCCTGTGGGCGAGCGGAGGAAAATGTACTCTGTGCACACAGTCCTAAGCTGACCTCTAGAGGAGGGGGGGGGGGGGCGGTGAATATTTTTTTTTACATACACATCAGGATAACGGTGTTGGCCTCAAGCTGCAAATAAAAACGACAGAGATTGACTGTGTCCAGATGGTGAGACGTGAGGAGACGCTTGTGGGGTTAAACCCCCCCAGCATGAAGTAGCAGTTAGCTGACACACTGTTTTTGTAGATTTTAACCCTAACCCTTAACACATAATTAATAAATGCGATCATCTCCAACGTTTGTATTCAACTAAATAAAACACAGAATGTGCATAAAAATACACACGAGACAAAGCGTCGATCTGTGGATACTTTAATGCGTATTTATTGTCCCCAGCTAAACATTATCTGGATGAACTAAAAACCGTCGTCGTATCATTTATCATTTAAATGATCCACTAATAACTCAAAGATCCTCTTCATTATGGTAAAAGCCTGCAGCGACGTGCACACGGAACACGGAACGCAGCAGCACGGCTTGAAAAAAGACACCAGCTGATTTCCAACTGCTGACATCAGCTGAACACACACACACACACACACCAGGGGCTCGCTAGACAACCTTCACACAGCCATCCAGGTGTGTGTCTGTGTGTGTGTGTGTGTGTGGTTTGGGTTGTGTGTGTGTTGCAGTTTGTAGGTGCGATGGCCGTCACAGCTGCCCGGGCACTGCAGTGCTCTTCATCCTCCTCCTTCTACTCGTCCTCCTCCTTTACTCCCCCTCAGATCCTGGGCCTGACGTGCAGGGAGACAGTTTCCTCCCCCTCTCTCTCTCTCTCTCTGACACACAGACTTACAGGTGTGTGAACACACACACACACACACACAGGAAGGAATTATGCAACTAACTGTGTCTAGTTATGCTCCTGGGGGCCACGCAGGCCTCCTGCATGCAGCCGTGTGCTTGAGTTGAGCCTCGTAACCAGGGAGGGAGACGCGGCTATCAGAGGCTCAGCGCGTGGCGGCGCCCCCTGCTGAGTGTGCAGATACGTCCTTATCGACACGGAGTACGTGTTCATGTCAGGAAGTCACTCTCTGTGGATTCATCCTTCATGCAGAGGCACGCGGATACAGAACTCATCACCGGAGCTGCAGGAGGCCATGCAGAGAAGAAACCAGAAGAGTGACTCCAGGAGTGGACTTGTCTTATATATATATATATATATATATATATATATATATATATATATATAGTCTGGGTGGTTGTGACGAGCCGAGCAGCAGATTTTGCTGCTGACAAATAAAGGCCGAGAAAAGGAAACTAATCATCATCTTGATGCGACTCTTTTCCTGCAATTTGAAACAATAAATACAGACGAAATGTTCCCGAATCAAATCACAGTGCAGTTACAGCCGCAGTACAAATAAATAATAGATGACGCACTTTGCTGTTGAAAGGGAAGAACAGTGAGTAAAAGTGTCCATAATGCAGACCTTTGGTTAAACACCCTTGTATTGTGATTCTGAGTTCGACCTCGATGGGGAAGAGAAAGCGGCGGCGGTGTTATTATGCATGATGAACGCCGGCCAGCTTTTTGATCACGCTTATTTATTTGTCATTCTCTCCTGCCAGCTTGCAAGCGGTGGTTCTGGCTGTGCTGATTCAGGTTGAACTCCGGCGCCGAGATGACATCTGCTGTAACATTCCTTCTTCCTCCCGGCGGCGACAACAAAAGGGCGTCAGACAGCAGCTACACAACACGGTTTAACCCCGCGTGCCCTGGTCGATGACTCAAAGCGCGGTGAGGATGAGAATCTCGTCTCGCTGTGATCAGCGATGGACTCACACGCGTGTGCGGCGGCCTTCGTGCTGAGCGTGTGATCCATCCATCGACCCCCCCCCCCCCCCAGGCCAGTAAAACCGCCGCCCGCAGCAGAAGCTGAATCTCATTTCTAAAGACACACAAACACAGACTATCAAGCGCGGGGATTTTTTTGACAAGATTTGATGGTGGTCGCACACTGGAACCGAGCCGCTCGACCCCCCGGATCGGAGCGATCGCTGCCGTCTGACGCAATGAGACGCAGGGGGGGTTAAAGGTCACAAACAGACATGCAGAAGGGAGCCTCCTCTCACACATCTGTGAAGCTGCTTCCATAGTGTCCATGTAGCGTGTAGCGTGACAACAACCCACGGACCACCTCGCTCACTCCGTCCTCCTCCACACATGCAATGGTTTCTCATATTTATTCTCCTCCACCCTCCCTCAACTCCGGCCTGAGTCATCCCTCGACCCCACCCTTCCATTCCCGCCCCCAGTCAACCACGTCACCAGAGCGCCCGGCTTGCAGCCCCGAGGCGTCGCCTTCTGCCCACAGCTGCAGAAACTCTTTACCAAACGCAGCACCCTGTCTCCTGACAGGCCGAGCCGGGACTCAAAGGAGCGGTTACTTAACAGGGCGCATTTATATCACAGGAGGGAGGGTGGAGGAGGAGGAGGAGGTGGAGCCCCCCGGGCCGCGCACACAGCGTCACACTTTCATGACACGCAGGTCGTTGAGATGACTTCTTGTCATCTGAGCAGGACGTCGACGACTCCTTCCAGAGTCCGATCACACAGCTGAAAGGCATTAAAGCGCCAGTGGGATTAACCGCCTCACAGCGTGTGCACGTGTGTGCGTGTGCACGTGTATGCGTGTGCTATTTGCATGAGCAAATATGTGCAGGTCTGCTCCTTTATGTCCATGCATTTCAGTGTGGAGCCGTTCGTTGATCCCAAACCGCCAGCGAAGGCCTTCCTTAAGCCCATCAAGCGTCTCTCCGAGCCAGAGGCCACAACCCCGAGAACAGAGAGCGTCGCACAGGCCGGCCGCCGCCAAAGCGCCAGAAGAGCCTCTGCAGCGCGCCGCCGACTTAGCGGGACGTCTGTGAATTGGACGCGCTAATCGAATCACG